ACCTTCACCACCAAAGTCACTAGACTTGAGTGCATTGATATATTCCTACTCTGATCTTATATTGAGTGAACAACAGATTTAACCACTAATCTGATAATAAGAATTATATAGGTCAGGGATCTATGACTTATGACAATCTTCAAAATTGTATAGAAACAAAAAATTCTGTTCCTACACTAAGTATTTAGTGTTGTATTAATGCGGTGGCATAGCATTTTTCTCAAATGCAATCTTGTTTTGTTATTGCACTTAATTGTTTTATTTATGCTTTATTTTTGTCCAGAACATAACAGTTTTTAGAATAACAAGTTCAGACTTTAGAGGTCAATATATAGCATAAAGGAGCAATGCATTGCAAAAGTACAATGGATCTTACTTCATTCTTTTAAGTTATTGCCCTTTGTTTCATTTCATACACAATTTTTGTCCGGACCATAACTCATAACGCTTATGAGATATTTATTCAATACTTCATTAGATGATAGATCACAATAAGAAATAATGTAGTTGAGCAGAACTCTCCACATAATATTTTTGGAGTTTTTGTCTGTTGTTATTTTTACAAGCTTAGTTTGCATTTTCTAGCAAGTCATAACTCAAAATTTTTAGGAAAAATCGGCTTAAAACTTCACATACATACAAACTTTGGACTTTCGGGTTATTGACCTTTGATTTGTTTATAAATGTAAGTGCGTGGAAATGGACTATTTCTGATAAATGGGTTATTTCTATAACTTTTCTCTTGTTGGCCGTTTGTTACTGATTCTTGTTAGAACAAATATCTTTTTAAAAAAAGTGAACAATTATTACTTTTTATTAGATATCTTCAGTAATTGAATGATTGTATGGAAACCAACTAGGACATTTTTGTTCAGTTTTTTTCACTATTATTACAGTTACAGAGAGTTTGAGAGTCTCGTGCAACAATGGCGTGTAAAACCTGGTGAATTTCAGGAAGAATTCCCGTTGAGAATTGCAGATACAGACCTTATTGAACATAAACAAAAGGTAATAGAGGGCGCACTGATCACCTTAACACTTCTTCTCAAGTTTTCCTCATAGACGCTGATAACTCGCCACCCTTCGAATCTAGAATTAAAATTACCATTAATTTAGGCAGACGCAACAAAACCATGATACCGGGTTGCTTCAAAAATATTTTTTTGATTTTAAGTTTTTTTCTGTTTGACAATCATTTTTTCCCATAAATTTTGGCCGTTTTCTTATCCGGTCTGTGTTAATGTAAATCAGATTGTGTTCATGTTAATCATGTTTCTTTATACAATATAAATCAGTTTTCCTCTGAGAATTTTGATCATATAAATCAGTTTTCCTCTTAGAGTTTTGTTCAGGTAAAACAATTTATTCTTAGAATTTTGTTAATGTGGACATCCTTACTCTAATTAATACCTTCCGTGTCATTTATTATTATGAATATTTCATTTGAATTCTCAAATTATGTTTCTGTTAATTTAAATGTCAAAACATTTTCTTCGTGTTTACAGACATACCGACATCTTCGTATCCGTGAGAAACTTCTAGAGCATTCCAGAGACGCTTCTCTTGTTGTCATGTAAGTAAAAGATCATCTTAAAGTTAGAACATATTCTTTATGAATTACAGGTTCTGCGTAAAGTAAATGTAAAATAAAAACAATTTACATGGAATTATGTTCTGGTAAATGCGCATACACGTTATATAAGTTTGAGTGAAATAAAAAACTTCATTTTTAAATGTGTTATACATGTACATTAAAAGTTTTGCTCAGTATATTGCTCTTTTTAAAAATATATATATATATATATAAATATATAAAGCATGTATTTTCATTTTGATAACTTGGTTTTTGGTATAACAGATCTTCCATTTATACCAATTCATATTATTATTATAATATAATTTTGTATATTTTCATAAGGACACTACCAGTTCCTCGGAAGACTTCTTGCCCGGCTGGTTTATACATGGGTTGGTTGGAAATACTAACAAAAGGACTGCCACCTACCCTTCTACTGAGAGGAAATCAGGAAAGCGTCCTAACTTATTATTCCTAGTTCTTAAACGGACCATATTTTCGGCCAGTATGAATGTTTTGTCAGATTATAGACCTTAACATGTGTTCTTTTAATGCAGTTTTTTCGTGTTATCATAGTGTACTTAAATCAGAGAAAGAAAACTGAAGAAGCCTGTGAAGTGTTTATAATCGACAACTATTTCTTGCTAGTTCTAAAACGAACTTTTCATTTCATTCTACAAATTTCATGGTATCATAGTTTTGTTGACAATAAGCATTCTCAAGAAATATTTTCAACCAGTTTGAGTTTAAGCAAATGTTCGTAAGCAAAATGGCATTGTAATTCCGTGGTTTAAGTATGTATATATTTAAATTTATTTTATTTGTCATTTATTAGAAAAAATGAAACTGTAAATATTTAGACACGTCTCTGTGTCGTTCGAGTTCGCCTGTACTTCGTTGTTTTTCACAAATATAAATATTCCATTGTATCACGTGACTTGCTGTTATCATTTATGTACGTGTATATATGTTCCTTTTGACCATTGACCTATTGACTTTTGAAGTGAAGTCTTCTTTTTCTGATTAATTCCAAAAAGTCCATTTGACTTATGCATTTACATCTCAATGATTGTTTTGTTTAATTTCGCTACTGTGTTAATGTACTAACCATGCATGAGGTATCAAATACCGTTGGTGTTGAAAAAGGAAGATATTATTACAAGGACTTTCAATATTATGTAATATATTGTAAAAATTGCAGAAAATATTTTGATCATTTGCCAGCATCACGATGATAATATGTTTATTTCATCATGATTGAATGATGATTGAATAATGATTCAATGTTGACATAATGTTGACAAATAATCATTTTGCTTTTCACATCAGGGATCGATTTAATCAGGCTTACGCTATGACCATTTATTCTAATAACTTAATGCCGCCAGGAAATTCTAATTTTATGCAAGAATGCAATACTTACAAAGATATAATTTGTCGTTTTTGTATTGTGTTTGTTGTCGCTTTTTTCGTGCTCTGTACTACAAAAAAAATAATTGAGCAGCGTCACGACAAGACCAACAAAATGGGTTTGCGACAAGCATTGATCCAGACCAGCCTGCGCATCTGCGCTGCCTGATCAGGATCCATGCTGTTCGCTATCAGTTTCTCTACTTGTAAAAGAGTTAGTAAGCGAACAGAATGGATCCTGATCAGACTGCGCGGATGAGCAGGCTGGTCACAAACCCATTATCTTGGTTAGGTCATGGCCCGGGTCATTCCTACAACCCATCCAATGGCTTAATTATGCGACTGACTTGTCAATGCCATTTATAGTGATTGCAATTAAAAGCCGGTGGAAATTTAAGAATTAGGCGGTTTTATAAACTTACGAGACAACTCACAGTCGCATGTACTTAAAGTATATAAACTTGCAAGAAATTTCAGAAATTATCAAATGTATGTGACTAATGTAAGTCACGGTTGTTGCAATGAAATATAAGAAAAAAGTTCGATATAAAATGATTAGAAAACTACGTTTCCAGGTTAATGTTCCGAAATAACGAAACCACGATGGTGAGGGGTCGAAAGTACGATGTTGAAAACACAAATTCATTTCGAGCTTTCACCAACGTGACATCGTTATTGCGGCCTTTCCGCGTTGTATTTTCTACTATTCATTGTCCTACTTTCGACTTTGTGCAATCTTAATTCCGTTATTCCGACTTTCACCATCGTTACTGTTTCGCGATGACTCTAACGGGACACTATACTTTTCCATTGAATTGCCATGCTAAAACCGCCGAAAATGCGATTGAATTTGGCCGTGTGGCACATGGCTGGTTTCTTTTTGCATTGCTTTTTGCCAGTTGAAAAATAATCGTAAAGTAGCTAGAATCAAACGATATATAATACTTAGTATTATCTTGTATAAGTATAAGCTGGCAAGGTAGGGACAATAAGGAAAATGCCTGCCATTCATCCGCCAATGCACATCTATATGATTTTTGTTGATAAGTTCAATAAGTTTAAAACACATTTTAACTGGCAATGAAAGAAAAAAAAGACGAAAGCTTCGAAAACCTAATCAGATTTTTGCAGCAAAAGAATTAAAAAAACTGTAATGTTAATGTAACAGTATGAAAACTCTACAGTATAATACGTATAATTCCAAGACTTTGTAACAGAGTTACTAACGTCCCCCGCCTAAAGGAAGTTTTACATGAAGCACGCGATAGTATTATTTTTAAAGTTTGAATGTCGGTGCATAATATTGATAAATGCATAGGAAACAATAAATTCATCAAAGCAATATAATGTAATAACTCCGTAGATATACATTTGAGGAGTTTGTTTCACTGAAAATAAGTACATGCAAGGAAATTATTAAAAGAATATTCAAGATGGAGTTGCATTGCAGCCCCTCTCGCTGTTATTTATTTATATTTTAAGTTTATTTTAAGTATATTAGTGTACCGCGGTGTCTAGAAACCAATATCATAATTGATAGCTCTTATTTACATTTAAATTATTTATATATTTTAATGAGATTTTTATATCTTTGTTTTCGTATTGACTTCCTCAACATGTACATAGCAAAAAAGTACATTATATCGTCATTAACGAAGGTCTAGGGGTTAAATTTTTGTTTGAACACATTTATAAGTCAGAGCAACATTGCTGTAAGACTGGGTAACCTCATTGATACATATTACTCTGACCAATCAAATTTCTTACATATATCACGTGATTGCTTCTCGCACATATAGTGCTTTGAGGACCTTCTTGGTTTATCTTGTGTATGGGTGCTCTGTCTCCTTTATAACACCTCTGAAGTGAAGGTTTGGAAATGGTAGTTAGAACATTGCTCTATAAACGGGACAATATTGAAGAAAACATGGTATTTGACTCAGTAGGGCTCGAACTCACGATCTTTTTGTTGACAGGCAGCTTAACATCTCTACCAGTAGCCCAACTTTGTCTCTTTGATATGTTTTATATGTAAAAATCCTAATGGATGCTTGGGATGTTCGTAATATGAAAGAATTCTCGATATAAATAATTACTTTCTTAAACAAAATATTTTGAACTAGATATACGCCAAATACATCAGTCAGTGTTATCTTCCATCATCAAGTGTCATTCAGTTGTCCTTTTAAAAACTATTTTTACTTTTTTACATGACCCGGGGCACTAATAAACAACAACTCGGCAGCTTGTTTTTTAACATTTAAAGAAGATGCGGAATGTGACCGATGTGACTGATTTAATACAAGCTATTTATAGACATACTACATCAACATGTTCAGATGACACTTAAATTAACCAATTATTCGGTTGTTGTTTTTTGCTGTTGTTGCTGTTGTTTTTTTTCAACAACATTCATTACCTACGCGCTCCGTCAATTTCATTAATTTACAAAATGGTGCGTCACAAATAATGATATTCGAATTTAGTTTTTATATTTTTTACTAAAGATTTGAATAATAAAATTAAGTGAAGATTGTTGATATTCGCACTTTCTTAGTCAATGAATAAAGGGTTATCTGCTTGTTACTTTGAGAAATCATCAAACAAACAGAATGTTTAGAATGAATACAAAATAAAATCATTGACAACATAAGGTAAATTTATTGTAAAGTTCGTGCACGTGCGGGAAAATTGCCGAGTGTTTTGATGTTCTTTCTCTTTTGTATCATAGTCATGTCACAATATGAAACCCAAGAAAAAAGTAACCAATGAACGAGCATCTAAATATAATATTTCTATCGCTTTCGCTTTCTCTGCCGTCACAATAATTTAACCCCAGAAAAAATGAGCCAACCAATGGGCATGCTCTGGAGTGCGGGTAACTAATACCATTTTCAACATAAAGGTCCCCAAACTATGATACAAGCAAATGCTACGATCCTTTTTTTCATATGAAACGCGTAAACTGGTTTCAATGTTCAGCACGCATTAGATCACGATATTAATTATTGAAAGCCAATTTGTTTGAAATGATGGAAATATTTGAACTGTAATGATAAATAATTGAGCCGTGTTATGACAAAACCAACATAGTGCGTTTGCGACCAGCATGGATCCAGACCATCCTCAAATGTGACTAATTTACTATAGAACAAAGAATACGAAAATTCACCGGGCCGAGAGCTAAACCGAGTTACATTCGGGTCATTCGAGTGTATCCTTGTAAGCGGTGTATGATTTTTAAAACTTAAAAAACTGGTACGGATGTCATGTCCGTGTATGATCGTATATAAGCGACCGTATAAAACTGTAAGAGACCGTATGAGACCGTATATACAACCGTATTTGAAGTTCAGTCCACGAGTGAGCCTAACCGTATCAAGTCGTATATTGACCGTATGGAATGGTTCTAGACCGTCCCCAAGTCCTACATCCAACACCCGATTAACACCACGATTTAACCCGAATGTCACAAGATCACAGTACGATTCACACGAGTGCATACATGGTTTCATACGATCGCCATACGACCAATTCGGTTCAAGTACGAATCATACATGACAGACACGATATAGTACGGGTATACACGGCCTCGATCGGTCATACACAGCATCTACGCCAGCACGATCTGTACAACGAGAACCACACCTACCTACTGCCACCCTCAACTGCTAGATCTACCCAGAGTACTTGCAGCATCACACTAGAATGCATCCAAAGAAGAAGGTTCCCACGCACAGAAGGAATACAAGAACGGCCATCCAGGCCCGCCGACCACTTTAACCTGCTGACCCTGATGAGCTGGAGGACCATTGTATATATAATGTCAAATGACGTTGTAACTATGGTTTTATGTTTATTTGCCCTGGTGATTATAGAAACCGGTAAGCAATAAATTAAATTCAGTAAATCCAGTTAATGACAGTTATTTTTTAGGATATTTTTCTTGTTCCGTTGAAAGTTCGAACATTTATGAAGCCAAGTCATCAAAATGGGTAAATTTATATCAAAACATACATGATTATTGATAATTTGAGCATAACTTTCACCCTAAATAAACCCTGTGAAAGTCGAGGAGTAAATTGCGAAACAGTCGTGTTTAATCGTACCAGACAGTACTAGACCGTACTTGGTACCGAAATAGACAGTACTTCGTACTAGACCCTACAACAGTCTATGTATTCGTATGCAAATCGTGTTCAAAACTTTCTTGTCCGAGTATATCCGTGCTTAATTTGTACATTCTCGTGCTACATTCGACTCTACCTCGAACCAACTAATCCCAGGCACATTTAAGCCTGCGTCACATTACACTCCGAATAGGTTAATGATGTGGTACCGATGTCTGAACGGGCTGAAAATGCCAATTTTTTAAAGGTCCCCGGCCGTTGACCCTCCGGTGTCAAGTGCAGAGTTCTTTTCTTCTGGCATCGCCAGCTCGCCGTAAACACAGTAAAATACATTCTGATACCCGGCCAGACACCTTTTGTTATACCGGTAAAAATTTTCACCTCCTTTTTCTTCCAGTTTCCGAGCGGTATATGAGCAGTCACCGAAGGCGTCACGACAGGCTACTGACCAGGGCCCGGATGGACGCAGTACGTTTCACGTATGGTCCTAAGTTGTCCGTAAGGATAGCGTTAGGCTTACGTCAGGTAAAGCAATGGATTGTATATTAGGCGACCCGTGTTCAATTCTTGGACAACGGTGAAGGTCACTTTCGTTGTACAGAAGTTATCAGTACCTTTAGAAAGTGAAAGAGATTTTTACTGTTTAACTGCTTGACAGACTGTCCAGGAACAATACGGTGACTGAACTGTGCTCTTGTATCTATATTCATGTTGGCCTACTGATAGTGTCGTGGTTGCGTTCATTGAACGCCGCCTTCCTTATTTATCTTGTTTTTCATATTTTCTGAAATTTTGGCATATTGCTATCTGTATATTGCGCTGTCCTCCAAAATCTAAAACAACTACATGCAATACTCTTCTGGAGGACTCGCCTATACGGGCAACCGATGGCGAGAATTAAGAAACTCAATTACACACACATATTCTCTCAGTTTTCAAACACGTCAGAGGTTTCTTAAAGTTTTCAAGTTTCATTTACAATCTTTAATGGAAAACTTTGATTTCAGGGTGAAATATACCATCCAAAACAGAAAGCCAAGAAGGGGTGGGGGAGAAATCAGAGTTGAAGAAGGCAAGAAAAAATGACAACAAAACAGGGGGTGTGAATAACGGCCGGAAAATGGGATAACATCTCATACGAATACCGTCCGGCTGCCGACCAGATATCACACGTATACTTTTCATCACCGTACGATTGTTCCAAATAGGCCAGATAACGGAAGGCAATTGGGCATTTAGCGTACGGTAGTCTGCCGGATATCTTTAGAATATCAACCGGTGTCCAGAAAGAAAATGCCAAGGGTTTTCACCGGGTGGCCGGGCGAGTACCCTTCGGAAACCGTCCGAATACCTAATGGACCACAGAGGGAGAATGACCGCCCAATTCTTCCCGGACATGATTGAAATGTTTCTCTCCGGTCTCAAATTATCAACGATGTCTCGCCGATCCCTCTATATCGGCCGGCTCCGCTTGTAATGTGACGTAGGCATTACCAGTCAACCCGTGTATAACCAATTATAATACTGCACGTTTGTAACGTCACTTTTAATTGGATAATCGTGACGTTTATATAGTTTTATATACACGGCTGCTGTCAATTAATAAAGAAATCTTACTTTTTCTCTGAAAAAGGAAGTTTGCAGTATTATAAATTCGTTATAAAGATTGTTGACAGGTTATATGGCCGAATTTAACGGTTTTTTGCAATTAACCCTCGCCTTGCGGCTCGGGTTTTATATACAATCAACCGTTTATAAAGGGCCATATAACCTGTCAATAATCTTTATAACTAATAGTATATCGTATAGGAACCGTGTGCCTAACCGTGTTCTGTGTGAGACGGGCTATTGTGCAGTCAATTAAGTATTTGCTAGAAAGGGACAGACGGACAAAAGTGACGTATATTAGAATGGTAAAGTACATACGAAAGATTTCACACAGAATAGAATGTCGATGACAATTTATTTATTGATATTGGCCACTGGCCCATTACAATAATATATACATTAACATATAATATCTTGACTGGTGCCAGTACAGATCAATATTAATCGTTATAAATGATAAAAGGTTACAATTATTTTAACGTGGTATGGAGTATATTTAACCGAAGGCAAAATGCTTGAATTGGATATCACAAACATTATAAAACATCTTTGATAATATTGTTTGGAATGGGCTTGGAGCTTTACTAAGCAAATAATACCTTTTCAACTATCAATAAAAATATTTTATCTAGAATGCTTGAAGACAATTACTAACGAGACAAAAGTCAATTTACAACATTGTTTTAAGACATCAATCGATAATTACAAACTTGATGCTTCCGTACCATTCACATTAAAATATATCATATTAACTGGAATATAACATATACAATGGCTCATAATAATGTTTATATTAAAACACACAAAATATTGTTGAATAGTTTACCAAGGTGCGTGTCGATCTTAACGAAAAACAAATCATAAGATCTTCACTTATGCCTATTTTGTGCATAATAATAAATAGATACTAAAGCCTTAACATCAAATGGCCAGGCTTAATCTGCGTACCCATTTATTACATCACTGTAGAAACTTATTCAGCAATGACGTTTCAAAATCAAAAACTACAACAAACTAATAAATTTCCTTCAAAGTAGCATTTATAATGTTAAAAGCATATTCACAAATATTTCATAATAACAATTTCAAATTTAAGTATCTGTGTTACAACATACAAAATGCTTCCGTGAATATGATATCAACAATAAAGTGAGCATATCCTCACGCGGAATACAGATAAAAGCGAAAAGCTTCTACATCCAGGGTGTTGCTTTTGATGGTATTAACTTGAGACTTCATTTTGAGTGTGAACTTAATGGCAGTTTGACGTCGAAATGACGTTGAGATTTGCGCCTCATAGTACTGCATATGTTCATATGCATTTAATTTTGTAGTTGATGGGAAAATGTGTTTACATTTACAGATTTGAAAACGCTGTTTGTATTTTTTATTGAATTATTTTGTGAGTTTACAGAACAAATGTCGAAAATGTATAAACGTTTAAGGTTGATAAAGAGAATAAAACCTACGTAAAGCCTTTTTAATCTGCAAGCCCGGGTATTTTGCTATATCTCAAAATTAAGAGAACTTTGTAAATAATACAAATAGTGCAAACCGTACAAATCAAATATATCAAAACATTAAAAGTAAAACTACAGTTCACTCTCATCAGGAAATACCTGAAACACAAAATAACAGAAAAAAACATAACAACACAAACACAAAAAAAAAGAAAAGAAAGAAGAAACAACAAAAACAAAAAAAAACAAAAAACACAACACAAAAAATTGATTGAAAAGAATACAGGCAAAATAAGCCCTTATTAATGTACGAGTAAATGGGAAACAGTAATATTAATAAATTAATTAATTCGCGTTTTTCTTTTTTGTTGTTGTTGTTGTTTTGTTTTTGTTTTTTTTTGTTTGTTTTTTTACAAAATATATTTCTTTTAAAATAAATCGTATGTTGACAACTTTACGCATGACAAACGATTGGATTCAAATTGTAGTATTTGTGGTCTGTGGTTATACGCCAATACGTTATTTTTGACAGACGGAGGCGTATCTATAATACTTAATTAATTACGTTATGAAAAATCATTCGCTAAAATTTAGGTTGAATTAAACCATGGATCATCAACACAGCACAGATGATATAAAAGGCATTAATGAAATAATTGTAAATACGGTATCTGAGACCAAAGCAGACGACATAAACGCAATGGGAGATTTGGAAAAAGACAAGGAGGATAGCGTTTCTAGCTTACCATTTTTTCAATACAAGGATACTGTTAATAACCAAGACGGTCAAACTGATCTGGAATCAAAAGATACCCAATCGGATATAAAGAACAATCCTGGATTGTTAAAATCCGAGCTTAAACCAGGGGAAACTTTAAGTGAAGGAGACCATGCAGGAAGCAGGAGAGTATCATTCTATAGTGATATAGGAATGCAAAGACTACCTTACAGTAGGCAAGGTTCACAAAACATTGAAGCTGCCGGATTTATTCAACAGGGACCATATTTACACCCACTTTATGCGGGAATTCCACTTGCTCCTAATTACAGAAGGATATCGCTGCTGCCATTTTCATGTAATGGCGAGTTACCAACCAGGAGAAAAACATCAGCTGAGGTTTTCTACTACCCACAAGCTCAATACTTGACCAGACCGTCACAACATGGAAGAGTGTCTGTTTTTTCAATTGGGAATTCCTCAGATACAGGTACTATAGGTTCCGACGGTGAAGAAAGGATTCCGCAATTAAACCACTACAGAGCGAGCGTGTTTGACAACCAAAGGCCAACCTTATATCAACTTCGTGAAGAAGAGATTGTAAGTATTTCTATATTTCTGTTGTCTAGCGAATGAAACACTTACTCAAACATTACAATATGATCCAGATAATATTGTTTTAGCTGACATTGAATATTTTATGCACATTCTGTCCAATATGTTTTCTGTTTTTATGTGTAAGGAATAATGTGGCGAAACAAATTCAGAAAGTGTATAAAATTTTACCATATATTTGTTTTAAAGTAATTTTTTTGTAATTTTGGCATAACATTTATCGTGTTTATTCATTAGCAACACTGTTTCTGTTTGACATAAGGTATTATAATAAACAAGTTAAATGTTGAAGATGCATATCAAAGACGCCGCCAAATGATGTGAACAGTCACAGGTAATCTACAAAATCTGAATAGAAAATCGTTCTCTATTACGGTTGAATATCCGAAGAACTAATCAATTTTTTCTCCATGTTCTTGTTATGTGTCTCAAAGTCGGAAATGTTTGTCTGTTGCGACAATGATTGGAACGTCTGGTCGAAGCAAAATAAATTGGATAACAAGAAAAATCGAAATGATTGGTAAACTTAAAATGAATTCAAGACAATATATGCTGGGAATATGTCCATTTAAATATTGGTGCGAATCGCATAATGTTCTTTCGAATGAATTTGAGGACGAACTGTCTCTTATTATACAAATAGCATAAATATGTTTGTAATATCAAATAATAGTTATGAATTAATTGATATATATATGTAATCAATTCTTAGCTACGTTTGTTTTCTTATTTATAAAAGATTAAACAACTTGATTAAACTAAAGATTGCACATTGGTTCGTTGCATATTCCCCTAGAATCTACATTGTATACGCACCGGTCTCAAATATCGTCAGTAAGACCGGTGTACACAATGCTAGAATCTAGGTATAGGACCACTAAATGTATGTAGTAAAAAGTCAAGGTGGAAGAGAACAATCATCAGTCACAGAATCCTTCAAAATAACCTTTTGCAAATATTTGTGATACATTTTAAAATAAACGTACTTTTGTCAATCAGGTACAGTGAAATTTGAGAAAACCGGACGCTGAGAAAATCGGAACTCTCTAAATACCGGACAAATAATTCAGTCCCAAATTTTCCCTTCTTTAAACTATTGAATTAAACATTGACAATACCGGAATCTGTAAAAACCGAATATCGGACGGTTGATAGGGGACTACAAAGTCAATTATATAGACAATTACCCTGACAATACCGGACGACGAAGGTGTGAATAATCTTGTGTACTTATCAATTGGTTGTGTCTAATACGCTAACTGAGCGGTAACGGAACAATGATTGTCTGATTTGTTAATTATGTCTCATTTCACAGTTTGATTTATTTTAAGGTATAGATGTTACCGTTTTATATAAATGCCAAAATGCACGAGGAATTGATAAGTTATAATCAGTTGACGAGAGCTGTCTATAAGTGACAAATTTAAATTAATTAAAAACAGTGAAACTTTGCCGAGACCTACTTTAAAAATCTTTATCTGACAAATATGGTTTAGGTAATATTTACAATTGGGGAATTATTATAAACAAACAAAGTAAACTACATGTATGTTCGTTAAATCATTATCCATTACCAAAATGTAAACATATGCGGGTGTAATCGGACTTTATCGAGGTAACTGCTGTTCGTTTAAATCCAAAATGTTATTGTATTTTTATGCGATAATGAGACATAAACAATTAAAACATATTGTATAGAATTTTTATCATTTCTTCATTTCTTTATTTAGCAATTTACTTACTCATAATCATGAAAATGCAAATATACGTTCAGCATCATTTGTAAGTCATTGCTCGGTTTATATGATCCTGAACAGCTGAAGAGGACATTGAGAATACCGGACCGCTGAGAAAACCGGACAAAACCCTCGGTCCGAAAGCCGTCCGGTTTTCTCAACTTTCACTGTAATATGTTTTATAACTTAAATGTTAATTATTTTCATGAATTACATTTTGAACACGTTTTGCAAAAAATATTTATCGCCAATAAAATCTCCGTTGCGTATTTTAAAGATACCTCTTGTTCCCTGCCCAAATTTGGTTCCCTTCAATAGACTAGAACGATCGACTATAGACTGGCTCTTTGGCACGTTATTTATTAGGTAGATAATTACAAAAAAGAATATGATATTCAAACATGGCACTATCACTTCAGTTAAACGTTTATTTTTTTTAATCCTATTAGAAAATTTGAAAACAATATGATTTTGTTAAACCAAGAAAAAAATGCACAAAATCAAGTCTAAAATTCCCCCAAATGCATATCTACTATGCACGCGCCGTCTAATACCCAATGAGCATAGAATTAAAATGTTTTGTTTGAATGTGTTGAAACTGTACGCGTTTACGACAAAGGGGTAACTTTATCCCTTTTATAATAACAATTATTAGTGAACACAAATGTTCAATTGATTCACAATGTTTAAACATGTTTAAATATAAAAACCAATGCCCTGCAATATCCTAACTCCGATGTTAACCGTTGTAAACAAGTGGAATGTCGCCAGTTACCTCTGTTTGAACAGTCTGAGCTAAATTCGTTGTATAATTCAAAAGATAACTATTTTAATGACGATTGAACTGATAGTTACCAATGTTAATCACATACCCGTTCGGATTTTGCGACTCCTTAAATAAAGTACAGTTGACTCTCGGTAACTCGAAATCCAAGGGACTGGGCATTTTACTTCGAGAGAAACGGAATTCGAGTAACGTGGATTTGCCGCCATTACGTTGACATTCGTACATGTATATACATGTGTCTGATTGAATGTGCAAAGAAGTAGGTTTATTATTGTTGATAGCGGCAATGCTACAATATTTAACCGTTGAAATGACGGTAAATCACTTACAACTACAAATTATGAACAAAAATATATTATTCAAAATTTAATACAGGTATATTAATAGTGAAACATAAACACAAACATTCGTAGCAATGACATAAATGCAAGTTTGTCAGTATTTATCAGTAAAGCACATGTTTTTAATAAGCATTCATTACAATTAAAGCACAATAACACTTTTATTTCGACAACAATTTATCTAATATTTGAAGTGAATTGATCATCGGACGAAAACGAAAGTAGCAACTATCGTGAACCGGAAGTACATATTAATGTGTACATTAATTATACAAATGTCATTTACGTTGATAACACACATCAATACCTAGGCTGTTTTTAACTAACACCTGTCAGACTGGCACGAGTCTTAATTTAGTTATCTAACTGTTAAAACCAATTAAGTCCTGAAACCGATTAAAGCCACTTTAACGACGTGTTAATAATACATGATGACCGGCAATTAAAATTTCTATGGAACGTGTGAATCACGAGAGACAACATCTCACCTTGATGTCGCCGACCTTTGATCAGTCGGCTGTTTTCACACTTCGACTAATTGAGATGAAAATATGTTGGACTTTGATTGACGGGACCAAATTTTCTTTTCGACTAAACAGGAGTCTCGGTAAGTCAAAATTTGACCTAAGCGGAGTTAAAATACAAAGATAAAGAAGGAAATTTGACGGGACTTTAGAAATACTTCGACTAACGCGGAATTTTGAGTAAAGCGATTTTGACTTATCGAGAGTCAACTGTATTACACGGCCGTGTATATATTTTGACGTGATGTCATTTGCCTTTAAACAGTCTTTTTTTTTGGTATGTGATAAATAGAATGTAAAATTCGTGTAATTTTATTACTGAATTTATTGAAGTCGTTGAATAAAATAATATCATTCTCGCCAGAGGCTTGCATAATATATTTTTTTCAACTCGTTCAATAAATTCAGTATTGAACTTACACTCATTCAATATCCTCTATTTATGTTATGTCTATCTGCCAAAATATGAGTGAACATGTGAAAGTCAGAATAAGTTTTACATTTGTCATAATTCCTTTCAATTTTATGATTAACTTTACATGAACGGTAAATAACGGACATGGTTAAAGGGAATTTCTGTTTATATCTATCGGAATTTACTTGTAACGTTCAAATTTATAAACAAAAAAAGAGTGGAACAGTTTTGTATGGTTTAGGCAGCTTTATATTTTATCCTTAACATTTTTCCATATCAACTGTTCACCTTTGTAACAGCTTATCTTTTGAAATATATAGTAATTCCAGTTCAACTTTACAATGAGAAAATGAGCATAATGTCATTATGAAAACTATAAAACTGCCCACTTACTATAAATTGAACATTACCGGTAATTTCAGAGGGATATTAGTGGATAATTATGTATGTGGGTCACGTAGGTTAATGATTACTCAGGTGACTTTTATCATAAAATTGAAAAACAAATTTGACAAGCTTTAAAGTGGTTTAGATTTAAATTACCTGAACACTCACCATTCACTTTTGGATGGACATAATGACAGAAATCAAAAGAAATAAAATAACCATGGAATGCAACAGTTGATTTAAATAACATGTAACAATGACAACAATATAGATATTTGAGAGAGAAAAAAGAAACAAAAAAGCGCCATTACTCCTCAAAGGTGTCGTTATTCGGACTCAAGATTTTGAAACATTTTACTTTAGGATATATAATAAATTGACACTCATGTTTAATGTCACGAAGCCTCTAGCCTTACTTAAGTCATTTTTTATGTAAATATTAAAATAGGGCTTTCGGCATTGATCGTTACTTATCATACCTTTATTATTTATGTGAAAACAAAGATTGATAGGCAAATCAAATTAGTACGCAACAAAATGAACGACAGATTATTCTGAAAATCAAAATAAAGAGCATAATAAAGCAAAGTTTCATTGCATAAAGAGAGGCTCACTTCTTGAAAAGGTCAGGTGCAAATAAAAGTAAGCCAATAAATTATACCACACCGACTACCACTAATAATCAATATCTGAGAATTCTCCTGTAGGAAAAACCGCTGATTCTAATGTGATATGTAAATATGCCAACCATGAGAGAACTTGTTTACATCGCGATTGAATAAAAATACATAAGACCAAATTATTGAAAATTTGCACCAAGTTCGTTGAACTATGTTAGACTTCGAAAACTTTAAAAGAATCATCTATACCAATTACTTTGAAATTATTATACAGTTCTAAAAAAATGTAAGCTGCCCAATTTTGCGTCAACGCAGCTTCGTTGGTTCTTACTTTAATATCATATATAGTGTGACCAAGGTCCTATAAACTTTGTAACAAAACAAATGTTGTCTATAGAGATTTTAAACATTAAAACATTAAGAAAATAACATTCATTGGGGGATTTCCATCTATGTCCTTTAATTCTTGTTTGTAATATTGCGTGTCAAAGGTATTAAATGTTTATAAGAGGCATCCATACATAGGCTGATTAACTTAAGTCATGTGTGTATAATCAACACATACATATTGATTTTGTAACATTTCATACGTTACGTTAAATTCATTCCATTGCACAAATCTGATATGAAACTTATGCGCATGTTACGCATATCTGTCTTTTTAGAGAGCGAAAGAGCCGCCAACAGAAATGTTTTCCGACGAACTGTTTGACGATACTGAAGCAGGGGAGAGAAAGAATGCGTCTGTTACAGTCTCCGGCCATAAGTTTGGATGGATTCAGGGCGTTCTGGTATGAAATTTAAGAAATGTCACATTTGGCATGAGTATAAAGATTCTGTGACCTTCAAACTTACCTTTATAACAACCAGCATCTATAATGGTAGAACTATGCATCTAGTTAGTGAACTAACAAACACATTAAAGTATTTTAAAGATCGGACTGACACATTGTTAATCGCAATCAGGTTAAAAAAGAACTATGAGTGATGAATTTGAGATGCATATTTAATTCATAAAAATAGTGAAACTGTCACTGTGGTAAGAAAATCGTCTCTCATTTCTTTTATTACGCATATGCCATAAAAAGTAAATATAGTAATGGAAGAAGCCTTTTTATCTGATACTTGTGACAAGACGATTGTCTTACCTTACTATAATACCTGACAGTGTTTTATGCCTTAAATATAAAGGAGCCATGTATTTGGGACAAACAAAATGGTTGAACTCATTGTATCATAAGGCATAAAATGATATTGTGACCGAGCTCTTATGACGATAGAAAAATATGTTCATCGTTAGTAATTTGATACATGTACTATAAAATGTATAATGTGTTTAATTTCTGATTTTTGGGAAGATATTTATAATTCATATAGGCTTTCGTATGTATAAATGTTTATAAAATGGCATCATAATTTTTAAGTAAAATTTTCCATTCTGTTGAATTGTTTCACAGGTTCGATGTCTTCTGAATATATTTGGTGTAATGTTGTTTTTGAGGTTGTCATGGGTTACAGGACAGTCAGGTATCGGACTAGCAACTGTCATTATTGCATTGGCCAGTACAGTTACCTCTTTAACAGCAATGTCAATGTCCGCAATCTGTACCAATGGAGAGGTAAAGGGAGGTAAAATTAAACATATATTTGATTATGAAAATTGTTAATTGTTGGGCCAAAAACCATAGATATAGAAAAAAATTATCTTGTGAATACGATATTTTAAAAGTTATTTATAAATCATCCGAAAAACAAACTAAAGAAAGGGTCAAAGAAAGAAAATGTCTTACCTCTTAATGATATAAAAACAAAACAAAACCTCTAGATCATGAATTTAAGTTTTATTTATTTTGTGTGTGTGTAAATTTCAGGTGGGGCTTACTATATGATATCAAGGAGCTTAGGACCGGAGTTCGGTGGTTCTATTGGTGTAGTGTTTTCCATAGCAAACGCCGCTGGCGCTGCTATGCACATTGTTGGCTTGGCAGAAACTGTCAGGGACATAATGTGGGTAAGTTTTAATGTACTAACTCTAAAATATTTGGTTTTATCACTATGCAGATGAATGAATAAATTTGCATACCTTACAGTCTACGTATGTATCCGCATTGTCTAGTATCTGGTTATATTTTGCGTCACCAAAATACAGTCTTATCATAGCGTTTTCCATTTTAAAATGACCTTAGAAAACAAAGTATAACCTTATAATAGCCATAAATTTGTAATATTGTTACATAAGGATAGTATGATATTTTAATCCTTTTTATACTTTTCATTATTTTGCGAGAATTCATGGTATTTGGCAAAAAAGTATTAATATAGATTTAATATCTATTTGCCAACGTAATATTTATAATTTTAAAAAAGAAACTCTTTCGATTATTTTTTGGTCACTTTTTAAGTCAAGTTAAGCAATTAATTGGGTTATTGATATAAAGCAAAAACAACACAGACATCGTGTATATGTTATATTTTTCTTGTAACTCTAGGATCATGATGCGTATATCACAGGTGACAGTAATAATGAAGTTAGAATCATCGGACTGGCTACAAGTTGTTTGTGTCTGGCCATCGTACTGATTGGCATGGAATGGGAAGCGAAGGTAATAACACATGTAAAATTAACATATACCAATGTTCCGTTAACATTGGTACCTGTAGCAACGTTGATGAAATGTTCCGTGTGTTATTAACTTAAAATAAAAATACAGAGGATAAACCTGGTTAAAATAGGTCTTCAGTGATATTTCATTGGCATAAGTTAAGTCTTTCGTTTAACTTGGTCATCATTGTAAATGTTTTCATTTCATCATCTGCTACAATATTGTTGTTATAAGTGGCGAGGTTTGTTGGATATTAAGAAATACAGACTCTTACAGTATAGGTCATACGGTGAGTTTCCAGCTTAACTGATGGAGGAACCACTGCGAAGAACCACAAACTAACCGTAAGCTAGCTGTAAAGCTTTTTCTCATGACAGAATCCCATATCTTTGATAGGAAACGAGCCCACATAGATGAAGGACATGTGATTTGAAGTCATCGACATTGATCACTATGCCTTTCAATCGGCTGATCTAGTCGATACCTGTCGTATTCTGTTTTCACACTTTACAGAATAAAATGATGGACAGAACCGATCAAATACAACTATCCATATCAAGTAAAATAATTCAATCGTGAACTTCACTGAGTGAAGGCACAGACAATAGCAATGTTATCATATTTAATACACTATTATTTCAGGCACAACTTGTCTTACTGGCTATTTTGAGTATTGCTTTGATCAATTACTTTGTCGGCACTTTTATACCACCTGACGATGAGAAAAAATGGAAAGGTGTTGTAGGATACAATGGTAAAATGAATACACATTTCTTTTTTCTGATACAATTTCTGAAGATATTTCTCTCTTTTTTCAGCCTTTAAATCGCATGAAAAATTATTGTAAAAATTAATGTTTCATTTTATTTCCAACAAAAATTAATAAACATGGAAGCATGTACAGAGTTCATTGTACAAAAACACCTGCAACAGGAGAAGAGGTTCGTACCATCCGCTCGTACTCAACAGTTAATGGGGTTAAATAAATGTTTAACCCTGCATCGTAGTTTGTAAACTAACCATTCAATAAGCTCCATGACAACAATCTTAAAGAAATATTTCGTACCATCGGTTAAACAGTATATTTTAAAATGAAAAATTATAAGGATACAATAAAATATTTATGTTTGTTTGTACTTGAGTTTTTCTTTCAGATGAAACCTTTTCAACAAACTTTGGCCCACATTTCACCGAAGGCAACAGTTTCTTCTCCGTGTTTGCAATATATTTCCCGTCGGCTACCGGTATCCTAGCTGGTGCCAACATTTCTGGAGACCTTAAAGTATTATCATATATATAATTATGCACTAACTGCTAACCGAAACACTTCTAGTGTTATTTATCATTTATAAATGGTTAACGACTTGTTTTAAAGGATATAAAATATATTGTTTTTGATAAATTATTGAACGGGATCAAATTCGTCATGTCGAATTTCATTTTTGCGTTTAAGCTGTTTAATTTGCATAACTGGCGTCCACTTGGCGGTATGCACCTTTAAAAAAATTAATTGCTTTGTGTGTTGTCCCTTAAGGCTTTCTTTCTGTCAAAGCTTATGAACATGCTGATTAAAGGGTGATTCTATTTTGAGTGAGCAATAAAAGAGATTAACTATCCTTTGCTTAGTATTCAGACATTCGTACAGAAAAATAACTTGAAAAGTGATTATATGTGTTTACATATTCATTTGCAGAATCCATCAAGTGCGATTCCAAAAGGCACATTTCTCGCCATATTGCTGACGTCACTCGTGTATGTAGCAATAGTATGGTCCATTGGTGGATGTGCAGTTCTAACGGCGGTTGGCGAGATTCTCACACCGGGAATGTTTATGGATCCTGTAACCAACGCAACCATTACCCCGACTTTAGACCTAGTGCAAAACTGTGCGGCATTTAATCAGACCTGCAAATCCGGACTTCTTTTAGATAATGGGGTAAGTTTTCTTACATATACTGAAATAAGTATTTTTTGGAGAAGGAACTGTTGTTTATTATGAATGATCATTGCCGTCGAGAGATTTTTTCTCTTCTCTCTACTTATAATAAATTTATTGAAAAATCGCTTTGCTTTTCTTCTACATTGCAGATAGTGAGTTCTTTGTAAAAAATACTTTGTTTACTCTTAGAAATTTCACTTAGTTTCATTTAACGGTGAAAAAAAAACACAACGAAATAATGAGCGCCTAATATCTAGGAACTGCCAACATGGTTTTAACTTTGATGGTCGTAAGAAATCAAGTTAAGGCATCAAGCGCTCAACTCTTTTCTTTAATTTAAGATGGTCGTAATTGCGTCAGCATGGAAACCACTTATTTGGGCGGGAATATTCTCAGCAACATTATCTTCTGCTTTGGCAAGTATGGTCGGAGCTCCAAAAGTGTTCCAGGTAAGAAGGATGATAAATTAAAGTTCATATCAGTATTAGTTCGTCAAATTTAGTTGTTAGGTTTGAGGATTTGTCCTTTAAACAATTGATCATAAATTCAAATTAATTTCTGACAGGGATACTAAATTGATTCACGACAGTTATTTGTGAGAGGATTTTCATGTAGTTTATGTAATGTCTTAATTATAGTTGTTGTCAATCACGCAAAGAAGATCAACTTAATTAGTCTTCGTTAAATCGTATATGTAGAATGATCACTATACAATCAGAGCCAAATAGGCAAAATTGGTAAGAACGTATTTGAGTATACGACAGACGAATTTCTATATAATTGGAAAGATATTTTCTTGCAAGAACACAATTATGTAAATGTAATTACCTGATGAAATCGTAAGATCGTTGACGTTGCAAACCGTCAGTTTGTCACAATATTTTCCAAGAATGGGATATCAAAATTAAAGAAAGATATCTATGTAACGTATATACAAAGTGATAAATCCTTTTCGAGAAAAAAAATACCGTATGTTATCAAAATATTCAAAGGAGGTGGAGAGTGTACATTAAACTTCCATGTTTTCATAAGTCAAAATACATTTACATCATCCAACGGAATTGAGCCTGGTAAGACTTCTCAGAAGTAAAGACTGGCTCAGGTTCATAATGACGTCATATACCTGGAAATTGGCTAAGTGAATTGAACAACAATCTAGTTTACGAGATAATTATAAAATGCAAATCATCTTTTTGTCAATTGGTTTCAATTTTGATAAGAAATCTCTTGTTAGAACACAGAAGAAGAACAGCGTGCAAAAGTTTTAATCACATAGCTACATTGAATAAAACAATCAAAATGTGTCTAAATATGAAACTGGAATTAAATATTGTCAATAATTAACTTTACATTTTTATATTAATTTCAGGCTTTGTCGAAAGACAAACTTTTCCCTTTTATTCACATTTTTGCAAAGGGATACGGTCCAAGCGAGGAACCAAAGCGAGCATATATTTTATGTTTTGCTATTTGCTCAGCAATGGTTTGTGTGGGTAAGGGTGTTTTTTATAATTTGTTCATGCATTACACAGTAAATAAAGATTAATGACATTTTATGATGTTATTAAAAGACTATCATCGTGTCTATGTTTAATCGTAGGACAAGGAATTATGTTTATATTATGAGAGTGAGAATTGTATCAAAATAACGAATTTGGGTGGCGATCGTTAGATCGCTTAGCTTCACCATAGTTTAAACGATAATTTCCAAATGATGCAGTTTACTTTGTTTTACTCTCTCGTCTTTACCACCGAAGTTGTCATAAACTTAACATTACTTAGCATTGATATTAACTACAAGGAAATCATTTGAGTTTCTTGCCCGTAAAATTTCAAGATGCTCCATCTAATTAAACTAAATTGTCATTATCGGTAAATTCCCGAATGCATACTTGTTTGAAATAATATCATAATTTATAAAGGAATTGTAACTCGGAGGTGAATGACCATTATACACTATCTTTTGCAAAATATTATATCTTGAAAAGGTATTGACGTCATATACATAGCAGGAAAACACCTTTTATTTTGTATGCTAACAATTTGATTTACAGGCTCCCTCGACATTATTGCACCGATTATTTCAAACTTCTTCTTGATGGCATATGCGATGATCAACTTTTCATGCTTCGATGCGTCAATGGCCAATTCACCAGGGTTTAGGCCGGGCTTCAAGTACTACAGCAAATGGTTAAGTCTTATTGGATCCCTGTTATGCATTGCCGTAATGTTTTTGATCAACTGGTGGGCGGCGCTGGTCACGTTTGTGATTGTTGCTGGCTTATATTTTTACGTATTTCGGACAAAGCCAGGTAAGGGAATTATCTGTTCTGTAAACAAGACGCTTAGACTTCTTGAAAATAAACCAACTGTGAGAAACTCAATTTATGTCCATTATTCGGTTGTGTACAATTGTTGTAACAAAAAGTGTTATTTTATAACTTAAACTCATATTCTTGTTTTGTTTAGTGAATTGCTTGCACGTGTCTAATTTTAAAGTCTCTTTATTTCGGATTTGGTCCTCAGCAAAAGCAGTCGCACGGAGTGAAGGCTGGCTTGGATCTTTTTTGGCGGCCAAGGCTTATCACATATCGACATAAATAAAGTACTTATAACAAAAAAAATATATACAATTTAAATATTTTATATAAATATAAACATCTTTTAAAATGATTGCCAGATTAGGATGTAAATTAATATATTTTTTTATAAATGCTGATTTTTTGCAGAGGTAAACTGGGGCTCATCGACTCAGGCAAACGCATACAAAGATGCCCTTAGATCAACGTTGAAATTGATCAACGTTGATGACCATGTGAAGAATTATCGTCCTCAGTTTCTCGTGCTGTCAGGGTATCCAAGGAACCGGGCAAATCTCGTGGACTTTGCGTCTACCATCACTAAGAAACAAAGTCTTCTGGTTTGTGGTCACGTGTTCCAGGTAAGTCTTTTACTACTAAATTTCTGGTTGTAAAATGTAATTAGAAAGCAGTATTATCTTTGTTTGCACACGATAATCGTCTTAATCGATAATTTGAAATCCATCAATGAAAGACAGATTTGTTGACTCGACACGGATACTAATGTATATCTATGAACATTGACTTTAAAATGAATTATGACCTTGACATTTTAGCCTAAATTCAAAATCTTTTGTCTTAATGTGAAATCATTTTGCATTATGACTTAAAATCCGTTTACAAATGACAAATGTATGGACCGGACACGATCATATCATGACTGAACTTACATGTATGGCCTTTAACTTCGAGCTTGTAACCTGATTCTTCATTCCAGGAATAACATAATTATTGGCTGGACACGATTCTCTTAAAATATACATATTTTTTTATCTAAGTGTTATCCTGGCCTTTAAGCTGCAAGTGCATTCGGAAAAGCTCGCCGATGGTTCCAAATTATCTCGGATTGAAAATAGTCTTACCGCGTGACCATGCAGAGGGTGTGATCTTTGTATAAAGAGTAACGAATGTGTGTTGTATTTGACATCTGCTGAATAAAATAAAGTATATTAAGATGAAATAATTTTTGAGAATATGTCTAACAAGATGAATCAAATTTAAAATACACACTGACAAACACTCAAACCCAAACTGGAAAAAATGTCAAAAGCATAGTAGTTGCGACTGTTACAAGTATTATTTCAAAATCAATTAATGAATGATAAATTTGTGCACCGAAAGATTCACATACAGACAGACAGACAGATTGATAGACAATTAAAATAAACATATGCCACCATTTGATGTATGAAAATAAAGACATTGCATTGCATATAACTAAGGTGATTTGGAAAACAATGTCCTATGCATGTATTTATGTCATCAGGGTGACTTTGAACAACACATGACAAGAGTTCGGTCAATGTCCGCGTACAGGTGGTTTGAAAACAAAAAGATCAAGGCATTTTACAACTGTGTGTGTGCACCAACATTTAGAATAGGAGTGCAAGTTCTTCTGCAGGTAAAATTCATTTCAGTATACACTATCCCATTTTTTGACATACTTAATACCTGTCAATAAGCTTCCCATATATGTTGAAGTAAAGACATTTAAGCATAAATGATTTATTTTAGTACACTGATTTGCTTTTATTTTAATGTTCATTACCATTATACTTCATTTTCAGTATTTCATTATATTCATTATTTACTTGTACATTGAAGCCTTATAATAGTGTAATGTAATATAAATAATTAATATTGTTGCACACTTACTAAATGTGATAACATTTGTATACTAAAAATAGCCATATAAAATAAGCCTTACAAAGCTGATATAGTAATAAGACTTAAACAGTATTCAATTTACATATATTTACAACTGTAACATTTTCAGACGTCAAGAAAGAGTTAACAATCTTGCTTTTGTGCGAGGAGAAATTGTAATGTATAAGATGAAACGTGAAGCTTTCATTCATTTTAATACAGAATTCATGTCGAACTATCCATTGACTGTATGTCCAGATGGAGAAGGGCTTTGAACGATTGGTCCACTGCAATTTAAAATTTTGTACTGATGTTACACGACTATGTTTTTTATATTTTCGGAACCATTGTGTGTTATCAGCTCTTCTTTGAGGTTCAAACATATGCACCATATTTTCATTGTAATGACAGATTTTAAGATTTTAATTTTTCAATGTGGAGAAAAACTCGGCTTCAATATCCAACATTAACCTTTAACCTTTTGTCTTCCATCATGCACTTATTCAAATATCCATTTATCTCATATTCAATATATAAATATATACTGCTCTTTATAAATAAATCACATAACATACGAAATAAAAAAGTTTAGGTTTTTCCAAATAAAATTTACTCGGAGAACTTGGAATATACTCTAAACTGCATTCTCGTCATCGTTTTCACGACTTCTACTTTATAGCTTTATGTTTTATTAACTATGTGTGGAGATATCCATCCAAATCCGGGACGGATCATTCCCAATCTGTCTCGAGCTCAGTCTCATCAGCATCTTTTCTTGATAGCACTCTCCTTAATTTATTTTGTCAACTTCCATATCATCAAAAGATTGAGGGAAAATCCTTAAATCTTTTATATCATATTCATCAAAAAAGGTATTCCTTCTCTCATTGATCCACTGACTAATTCCATTGAATCTGAAGAACGTGAAAAGGCTAATCTATTAAAAACTTTTTTTCAGGAATCAGACATTTGTTGGTGACACTAATAGGGATACCCCCAGAGCGTCAAATTCTGGCATTCAACTTACCTTGGAAATGATTTATATATCTCCTTCTGAAATTGAGAATGTATTGAAGTCTTAAAAAACCGTAAAGCATCTGGACCTGACACTATCAGTTATCGGGTGCTACATATATAAGGCCTCCAAACAACTTTCATGTCCCTTTCACCAGCTTTTAAACTGCTCACTAAGATCGAAGAAAATGCCGACATCCTGGAAGTTGTCAAATATCTGTGCTGTATATAAGAAAGGCAATCCTGCAGTTGTAAACAATAATAAACCTAAATCTTTCCTCAACTCTATTGAAAAAGTATTTGAACGAGTAGTCTTTAAACATATCTTTAACTTTTATAGAGATATTTCCTTCTTCACTCCACCTCAGTCGGGATTCTTGCCAGGTGACTAAACTGCAGAACAACTTGCGTTACAATATTTTCTGCAAGATTTTAGACGATGACGTGGAGGTGAGGGTCGTTTTTTATATTGGTAAAGCAATTGATAAAAGTTTGGCCCCAAGGTTTGTTAGTGAAACTTCATGGCTCTATAATTCGTGGAAATGTACAACAACGGCTTTCTGTTTACTAAACAAATCGTAACCAACAGGTTGTTCTTCCTGGTACCATGTCGGGCTGTGATACAATTTCATCTAGAGTCCCCCAAGGATCAATGATTGGGCCTCTTCTATTTCTTGTTTATATCAACGATATTGTTCAAGATATTGGTTCCAACATCAATCTTTTTGCAGATGACACTAGTCTCAATCTGAAAGTCGAAACACCTACTGAAACACATGATACCATACAGACTGACATAAAAAAAGATTTGTCAGATAAATGGCTTGTTCAATTTAATCCATCTAAATCCGAGTCCATGATCATATCAAGAAGAAACCACATCACACACCTTGGTCCATGTATGGCCAACAAATCCCATATGTTTCTGATCACAAATATCTAGGAGTGTATTTTCTGATGATGGCTCTTGGCATATCAATTATATAATAGAAAAGGCATGGAATAGAATAAACATAATGCGTAAACTTAAATGCAAACTAGACCGCAGGGCTCTCGAAATCATATATACATCCGTCAATTGTCCTATTATTAAATATGCTGATTAATTTTGGACAATTGTACATACTATGAAAAGCAAGAATTAGACAAAATTCAAAATGAAGCAGCACGAAATATGACGGATGCAACAAAGCTGAAATCGTAAGCTGACATATACAATGATGTAAATTTGGAATCACTTTCTCACAGAAGAATGAAGCATAAGCTTATTCAACTTTATAAAATGAAAAATTGTCTCAAACCATCCTACCTATTGTCTATTGTACCTGATCTTGTTGGTCTGAACACTACATACAACTTAGGTAATTCTCAAAATATTGATACAATTCGTACAAGAACAACTCTGTTCTATAACTCTTTTCTACCAACGGCACTTCCTGAATGGAATTCTTTACCGATTGAAACCCGTCAGCTACAGTCATTGGATTCTTTCAAAAGCTCTTTGATTGTAGACAAAATTAAAACTCCCCGACACTTCTATTATGGAGATAGACGGTCACAAATTCTTCGTACAAGAGTTAGAACGAAAAGCAGCTCTCTTAATCATCATCTGTTCTTAAAATACATAGCAGTCGTAGTGGCCTTATTGAAGACAACCACCACTTTTTATTTATTTGCAAGCATTACACACAAATAAGAAATGCACTTTTTCAAACTTTTACTCCAATATGTTCCATTGATCTTCGATCCCTTCTATATGGAGATCCGTCAATAGATTATCAAACAAACACATGAATATTAGATGCAGTATTTGAATTTATAAACAGCAGCGGACGCTTCCATTAGATATATCTTTATACTGTCATCATTTTAATATGCTACAATATCTCCAATTTGACCTCTTTTCGTTAGTCTAGTCTTCTAGTATTTCCAATATTTTTTTCTCATCTTTTAATATATATACATGTATATAATTAATATTTTTCTGGTTAGCTTGAAATATTTTATTTCTGGGCTCTTGCTAAATTTGCTTTAAGTGCCAGTTATACAAAATACTGTCTTATTTTTATCTGTTTTTCTTTTGCTTAGTATTTATCTCAAAATTGTCTTATATAGATGCATTTCTATTTTTTCGTTTCTTCATTGTGTATGTTTAAAAGAAATCTTGCAATATTCTTACTTTATGAAATAGCTATCCTGCCATTTATGTTTGTCTAAATATCATGTTATCTCTAGGAGAGGAACTATATAAGTTTTCTTTCGTTCTAATCCCTTTCAATGTTATGTAACAGTTATATACATATAGAATGTAATATATTTAAAGTATTGAAATAAATATGTTTAAACTAACCTTTGATCAGAATCAAATGACAAAAAATATTTGAAATCAAAGTAAACATAACTGGACACATGGTTAGGTTTAATTATAAAAATACAACTTTCTGTTTGACGACTAACAGAAAAGTTTTTTCCCTTTGTGCTAATTACTGTCGCACGTGTCACCTTGAAATGGTATATAACTGACCATTACGATGATTTTAATTACTGATTACTGTTTACACGATTAGGCTGTTGGTGTGGGGAAATTACGGCCGAATACATTACTACTTGGTTACAAGAACGACTGGCAAAAGACAGATCCTGTAGAAGTTCTTGACTACTTCAACGTCATACAGTAAGGCGATTTGTTCAAATCAAATTGTTCAATTTTATTTGAAAATGCAAAGGTATTTATGTGATTTTATACATGTATATCTTTTTTATGGTATCGCTAAATTTTTTCATGTTCGTAAAGTTAACGGTGTGGGCAGCATTATTTTAACTTTAAAGTTTGATATATATTTTCAATGGTTTTACTTGAATATTTAGTAAGCACAATTCACATATTGGTTATTAGAGGTGGAATGTTTAAAAGAACTGAACAATATAAACAAATGCATTTATATTATATGTACTGATATCATGTATCATTCTGTTAAAAATGTTTGGACTAATTGGAATCGTTGGTAACTACTGCTATTTAAGAGTTTAATCACTTTGATATTATATTTGATATGATCCCTATAGGGTGTGACAGGGGTGACTAGATTTGCATATTTGAGCGCATGCCTAATTTATCAATTTTTCTCGATTTGATCACTTGATAACATATTTGAATAAATAAAACATTTTATACATTTAATCAAGCATGTATCTGGAAACTGTTTAATTTAATCATAGCAAATAAGCCTTAAAATTTTTCTTATCATCCTCCTTTGATATCATTTTTTTTTATTTCAGGGATGCATTTGATTTGAAGTATAGTGTAGGAATTTTACGTTGTGATGGCGGATTTGACAGAAATAAAGTTCCAGATAATATTCTAGATCTAGACAGTCCAGAATTATTTGATTCTGATGTTGAACAAGAAGAAGATGAAGGTATGATCTTGATGACAATTTGGTGGTGTTGTTGTTTTAAACAATCGGCATTTATTGTTATTTGATTATTTTTCATTGCTCACAATTTTATTTTATAATATCTTAAAAATTTATAGATGAAACTGTTAAGGAACCGGAAAAAGAAGTACGTAACGAATCAAACAGTATACCAAGCTCTGTTGTTGAGAGAAAAGATAGGAACAACAAAACTAACAACATCCGTTTGATACGGTTACAAACGCTAGAGGAAGGAGTGGAAAATGCCGCATTTGAGGGTGTGTTACTGTGGTTATTAACTTTTTTGCATGATATTAAATGAATGAAAGGCATATTTAAAAGGACACCTATGACAATGAACTGTTTTACATTTTATCTTTGATATAATTTCTAACACTATATTATTTTATTTTTATATGGATCTTCAAGACTTTGATGAATATTGATCTTAAATGGTATTTATTTTTAGTAAGTTATTTTGACTTTTTTATTAGATTTAGTTTCCTGTTAAAGTGATTTTTTTACTGTTGGTACTTATATTTTAACTTTTGTTTATTTTTGCTTATTTTTGTTTATTTAGATCCAAAGGTAACTGAATCAAAACCTACAATTACCCCTTCCTTACTCTCGCAAGATGTGCCCGAAAAACCGCCGACGAATTTTAGAGATAAACAATACGGAACCATAGATGTTTGGTGGCTTTACGACGACGGGGGTATGTTATATACCTTAGCTCGGTAATATTCGGCTTCTTTCGTCACTATCTGTTTCTTACAAGACATAAATAAGCGTCTGCTGATCAAGAGAAGGAACAATTTACGTTCCAAATGATACGAGGCTCGGAAAGTCACGAAGCTGGCAGAATAAGCACGAAGTATTAGAAGAATATAGTTTTTAGAAATATAGACAATAAAGTAGAATTTCGTATAAAAATTTAAAAAAATGAGATACATGTCAACATGTCTCAATCAAGACTGTCAACTAAGTTAATGTGTTATTTACATACATGTCTGTTTGAAGTTAACAAAAGAGCTGACAAATAAACATCATAGTTTTTTTTGTAATGCTATACCAATCTTTTAATTTCACAGGTTTGACACTTTTATTGCCGTACATTTTACACAAAAGTAAACAGTGGAAACATGCTAAATTACGCGTGTTTTGTCAAGGCACGAAGAAAGGGGACATGACTGAAGACCGAGCAAAGTTTGTATTTTATGTAGAATTGTTTCCCTTTACTTATTGAGGACTGCCAATAAAATATTCAGATCAAATCACAAATAAAACGGATTATCTGATTCACGTTACTGAACTAACTATGCAAAAGAAGTGATCAAAATCGCTATCAATATTACGTCAATTTATGACAAATGCTTTGTATATAATAATTAAATAACCAACCTGATTACCGACTTCTGCATATATTGATAAAATAGGGATAGAAAGATCATCGGGACTGATTTACTGATTAAATGTAGACGCTTGACAACTATTTTACGCAATAGCACAATTTTTCATGAAAAAACTAAGGCGTGCCTCTTTAACCAATTGTCGCACTATTGACTTTTGTTAAATAAGGCCTTTTTATTGATTAAACTGATATTTGATTTTTTTTTCTTTTATAGAATGGCCTCATTGTTAGCTAAATTCCGTATTGAATATTCGGAGCTGACGGTCGTGACGGAATTAAACAAGAAGCCTCAACTATCAACGTAAGCGTTTGTCGTAAAACATATACAGCTATAAAACGGTTACCAAGTCATTCGAACCACATAGAAAACTTGACTTTCTCATTTTATCGAATAATTACCTTCACACAACTACATGTACCTCAAAAGATCGTAGAATTATTATAATATTTAACGATGGGTCGGAATTTCTATTTTATTCGGTGTTTAAGCATGATGCAGGTGTTTTTTTTTTAAGAAAAGCAGTTATAAACCAAGAATCATGTCAGTCAAAAAGCTGATTGAAATCGGCAACAGTATGCTTTATAATTTTTCAGTTCTGTTAGTCTGTCACTAGAGCTCTGATTATTGAGTTACATATCGCGAGAAACATTTTTCTTCCATGTCTTTTCTACTGTTATAATTACTTCCCGAAAAGTGAAATGGCATCCATCCATCCATTCGTATGTCCCTCCCTTCCACATTTTTGTCCGGACCGTAAGTCGAGAAGAACTTGAAAAAACAACTTGAAACTTTCAGGTAATGAGGATGGAATACATTTGTTATTGCACTCCACTGTTATTTTTCATTTTTTATGTTTGTATATAACATAATTCAACAGTTGTTTGGAATAACAAGTTGAGATGTTAGCCTTGAGACTAGATGAATAGATAGTATAAAGGAGCAGTGCATTGCAAACGTATACTGAAACTTTTTATGTTATTGCCTTTGTTTCTTTTCTTTCGCAATTTTTGCCCAGACAAAAACTCATAAAGCCTTAGATATATTTATTCAAAAATGTACATTAAAAAATTGATAACTGTAAGAAAGAATGCAGTTGATCAGAACTTTTTAGAGTTATAGTCTGTTGTTACAATTTAAAGCTTATTTTGTACTTTTTTTTCGCCATTACTCAAAATGTTCAGGAAAAAAACGTCTTGAATAATAATAGCTTACACATACAAGCTTTGTACTTTTCGGGTTATTGCCCTTTGTTTTTTTATAAATGTAAGTGCGTGGAACGGAATTTCTCATTTCTATAACTTTTCTCTTGTTGGCCGTTTGTTACTGCTTCGTGTTAGAACAAATATCTTCTTTTTTAAAAAGTAAAGAATTATTACTTCATATTATATTTCTTCAGTAATTGAATGATTGTATAGAAAACCAACATGGACATTTTTGTTTAGTTTTTTTTACTATTACTACAGTTACAGAGAGTTTGAGAGTCTCGTGCAACAATGGCGTGTTAAACCTGGTGAATTTCAGGAAAAGTTCCCGTTGAGAATTGCAGATGGAGATCTTATTGAACATAAACAAAAGGTAATAGAGGGTACAATAACTATCTTAACAATTCTTCTCAAATTTCCGTCATTATAATAGACGCTGATAACTCGCTACATTTCGGATCTACAGTTCAAATTACCATTGATATACGCAGACAAAATTAAGATCCCGAGTTGCTTAAAAAATATTTTTTAATTTTTTTTTTTTTCTGTATGACAATTAGTTTTGTTTATGTTTGTTTGTTCTTCAAAAGAAATTTCGACCGTTGCTAATGTAAATCAGTTTTCATCTTAGAAATTCTGCTAATGTAAATCAGTTTTCCTCTAAGAATTTTGTAAATGTAAATCAGTTTTCCTCTTAGAATTTTTGTAAATGTAAATCAATTTTCCTCTAAGAATTTTGTAAATGTAAACCAGTTTTCCTCTAAGAATTTTGTTGATGTAAATCAGTTTTCCTCTAAGAATTTTGTTAATGTAAATCAGTTTTCCTCTAAGAATTTTGTTAATGTAAATCAGTTTTCCTCTAAGAATTTTGTTAATGTAAATCAGTTTTCCTCTTAGAATTTTGTTAATGTAAATCAGTTTTCCTCTAAGAATTTTGTTGATGTAAATCAGCTTTCCTTTTAGAATTTTGTTAATGTAAATCAGTTTTCCACTTAGAATTTTGCTAATGTAAATCAGTTTTCATCTGAGAATTTTGTTAATGTAAATCAGTTTTCCTCTAAGAATTTTGCTAATGTTAATCAGTTTTCCTCTATGAATTTTGTTTATGTAAATCAGCTTTCCTCTTAGAAATTTGTTAATGTAAATCAGTTTTCCTCTTAGAATTTTGTTAATGTAAATCAGTTTTCCTTTAGAATTTTGTTTATGTAAATCAGCTTTCCTTTTAGAATCTTGTTAATGTAAATCAGTTTTCCTCTTAGAATTGTGTTCAGGTAAATCAATTTATTCTTAGAATTTTGTTAATGTTGACATCCTTACTCTGATTAATACCTTTCGTGTCATTTATTATTATAAATATTGCATTTTATTTCTCAAATTATGTTTCTGTTAATGTAAATGTCAAAACATTTTCTTCGTGTTTACAGACCTACCGACATCTTCGTATCCGTGAGAAACTTCTAGAGCATTCCAGAGACGCTTCTCTTGTTGTCTTGTAAGTAAATGCAAGAACATATTCTAGATGAATTACAGGTTCTGCGTAAAATAAATGTAAAATAAAAACAATTTACATGGAATTATGTTCTGGTTAACGCGCATACACTTTATATAAGTTTGAGTGAAGTAAAAAACTTCATTTTTAAATGTGTTATACATGTACATTAAAACTTTTGCTCAGTATATTGCTCTTTTTAAAACAATATATATAAATATCTAAAGCATATAATTATTTTCATGTTGATAACTTAGTTTTGGTATAACAGATCTTCCATTTATACCAATTCATATTATTATTATAATATAATTTTGTATATTTTCATAAGGACTCTACCAGTTCCTCGGAAGACTTCTTGCCCGGCTGGCTTGTACATGGGTTGGTTGGAAATACTAACAAAAGGACTGCCACCTACCCTTCTACTGAGAGGAAATCAGGAAAGCGTCCTAACTTATTATTCCTAGTTCTTAAACGGACCATATTTTCGGCCAGTATGAATGTTTCGTCAGATTATAGACCTTATAACATGTGTTCTTTTAATGCAGTTTTTTGTGTTATCATAGTGTACTTAAATCGGAGAAAGAAATCTGAAGAAGCCTGTGAAGTGTTCATAATCGACAACTATTTCTTTCGGAAAAGCAATCTAGTTCTAAAACGAACTTTTCATTTCATTCTAAAATTTTCATGAAATCATAAGTTTGTTGACAATAGGCATTCTCAAGAAATATTTTCTACCAGTTCGTGTTTAAGCAAATGTTCGTAAGCAAAATGGCATTGTAATTCCGGGGTTTAAGTATGTATATATTTAAATTTATTTTATTTGTCATTTTTTAGAAAAAAATGAAATTGTTAATATTTAGACACGTCTCTGTGTTGTATGAGTTTGTCTGTACTTCGTTGTTTTCCACAAATATAAATATTCCATTGTATCACGTGACTTGCTGTTATCATTTATGTATGTGTATATATGTTCCTTTTGACCACTGACACTGCCTTTTGAAGTAAAGTCTTGTTATTCTGATTAGTTCTAAGAAGAACATTTGACCTATGCATTTACATGTCAATGATTGTTTTGTTTAATTTCGCTACTGTGTCAATGTACTAACCATGCATGAGGTATCATATACCGTTGGTGTTGAAAAAGGAAGATATTATTACAAGGACTTTCAGTATTATGAAATATATTGTAAAAGTTGCAGAAAATATGTTGATCATTTGCCATCATGACGTTGATAATCTGTTTATTTTATCATGATTGAATGATGATTGAATGATGATTGAATGGTGATTCAATGTTGACATAATTTTGACAAATAATCATTTTGCTTTTCACCTCAGGGATCGATTTAATAGAAAAAAAAATCAGGCTTACGCTATGGCCTTTTATTCAAATAACTTTTAATGCCGCTAGGAAATTTTAATTTTATGCAAGAATGCAATGCTTTTAAAGATATACAATGTCGTTTTCTGTTTGGTTTTTGTTGTCGCCTTTTTTTATATTCTCACTCGAAATACCTGGACGATTGCCCGTGATACACCGAATCAGGATGAAAATGAGAAGAAAGATGCGAATGTTGAGATGCAAAACAATGAAATGCATACAAATTGTAAATTCAACTGCTAAATCTAAGGTTAAACAATGAATAATAAAAACTGCATAACGCGCAACATAACACCAAATCTTACCATAAATTATTAATAAAACAAATGTGACATAACAAGCTTGTCAGGACATTGTTCATACTTTGATATGTAAAAATGAAATACATGCACATATGACGTAAGTACATAGGGTTGACAACAGGTGAAACAGGTGAAATGCGCATTTATTCATTATAGATGAAGGGAAAAAGATTGTTTAGAATATTATTTAAAAAAAGTAAATGACGTTTTGTTGTGAACAGAAATATCATGATATTAATAATGTTAACTGCATTGACGCATATACATCATTATTTTATGTATGTAGATGCCTAGGATTTACATATTAAAAAAAAGGGTACGAGAATCTAGATCATAGAAGAAATAATATAAATTCAGTCTTAATAAGTACATTTGCATGACTAAATAAAGTTATCAATATAACATAACTTATAAGGCATTAGTATACTGACAATACAGATATTATAATAAGTTCTTTTAGTGTATTTTTCCGTAATACGTATATGCATATTCATGCATTTACTTTATTACAATACATGTATTGTTACGTATTTTCTTCTTCTTTTCCTTCTTCTTCTTCTTCTTCTTCTTCTTCTTCTTCTTCTTCTTCAACAACAAGAACAACAACAACACAGACGAGCTAAAAAATCAAACTAACAAATAATCCGCAAAAACAAACAAACAAATTGTAAAATATATTATTCAATAAATAAATCTCATTATTATTCCAACCAATGATTAAATAAGACGTATGAATAATATTAGCCGCGTCACGACAAAACCAACGTAATGCGTTTGCGACCAACCTGGATCCAGACCAGCCTGCGCCTCCGCGCAGTCTGATCAGGATCCATGCTGTTCGTTTACCAACTCTATTACAAGTAGAGATACAGATAGAAAACGGAATGGATCCTGATCAGACTGTACGGATGCGCAGGCTGGTCTGGATCCATGCTGGTCGCAAACACATTATGTTGGTTTTGTCTTGACGCGGCTCATATAATGAACTGCATTGTATTTTATTTGATTAATTACTATACTAATGTCATTTCAATCAATTTTTCTATGTGAATGAATGGCACAGATAGGAGTATATTGTTAAAACCTGCAGTTTTCTGTAAAAAAAATATGTGAGTATTTGAGTAACTGATCGTAGCTAAGATTATTTTCGTGTTTTGATTTATATATGCCATCTAGTACATAAGTATATTTTGTGGATTTTTTTCTTATGATATTTCACATTCTATACTTAAGGACAATGAAAACGCACGCCCGCACTATATGCATTTTATTACATGAAAACAAAACACTAACGACTCTATTAGATATATATCATAACTTTAATACAAAACGCAAACTTAACAACTGAAAATAATTCAAAATGTTTAAAATCAAATGAACACCAGTAAATCGAAGAACCTAAGGTGAAAATCCCAAAATCACACTTTTTCATGACAGTAATGCAAACTTAACAAAGGTATAAAAACCAAACTGAAAGTCCAAAACAAAGTCGCTCATAAATGTCTATTCGTAATGTCACCGTCGGGGTCTTTAGAAACAACAATGTCCTCCATCAGCGTCTCTTACAGATGTACATCGTCGCCTCATAGACCGTACGGTGCGGATAGTCGCCTGTGAAATCTGACGTCATTCGGCCTGTAGTTAAGTGCGAAAACGCTGGTGAAGCCGAGAAAATGTAGACCCGACGGACACCAAAATGGTTGGCGCTTGTTTGTAAGGCAGACCAGACTGAATTTGTCCCTAATCTACCTAGCGTTTATTTCTTTATAGAAACATTGCATACAATTTGCTAGCATGTCTTCAGTAGTGTTTAAAATTTAACACCTTCTTTAGAGGAAAAGTGTGTATATGCAATTTCTATGTGAGCTTTTACGATTTTTAAAACTGACCATTGGCATAGTTTAATATTCATTTTCATAAAGATTTTAATTGCTTATGTGTTTCTAACATTTCTAGAAAGTTGTGAAAAACAAGTTAATAATTAGCAATTTAAAAAAAAATTCATTTCATAAAGTAACCATGAATTGGTTCAATTTTTTTCCGTTGTGATCTTATCACAATTAGCCAAAAGTGTTACTTTTGATTTTTCGGGTACTGTCTTTATTATGCAATAACTTCATAAAAATGCAATCATTTTTCATAACTTTGGTATCAAAATGACCGGAATGTATTCGGTTTTATGAAACTGTGAACAAATATTTAAAAGAAATATATTTTCCTTGTTAAAATGCAATTATCCCGACCGTGCGTTTTCATTGTCCTTAAGTATATGTATATTAGTGTATATGTGACTGATGCCTCTAAGAGGCCAAGCATTTTCAATAAACTGTTCAAACTGATCTTTTATGAAGGACAGTTGTCGCATTAAGTTATAAGCAAAATATATAATACTATTTATAACTAACATTTTAAAAGATTAATGATAAAATCTACAAATTGTTAATAATTTGATAATGGAATATAAAAAACTGAAATATATATCCTGTATATTGCTTAACACAATGTTTGAAATGAATTTGTTATATGAAATGAAATGCATGAATAAAATTAGATATCAATTTTTTATCTTATAATGAAATTCTTTTAAATACAAGTATGTTTTTCAAATAAAATTTGTAATAAATAATATATTTCTAAAGTAAGAAGTCAAGTTGCCAAAAGCTTGGGCGAATTGAAAGAAAGGCGTTTTTTTATTTATCTAACAAGGCATTTAATTATATGAATCATATACATGTATATATACCTGTACATAAATGTATGTCTGCCTAAAATTAAATACATATATGAAATGAAAAATGCGTATAAAATGAAAAGTCATATATTTGTATAAATGTTGAAGGTGAGTAAAGAGAATAAGATGTACATTGTATATTGTAAACCCCTTTAAATCGTAACACCTTTGGATTTATGCTATCGTATACTATTTTAGACATCTTAATAAAACAAACATTGTCATCTCGTTTTTAAAAACTAGCCTTAGACATTTACTACCATAAAACCAAAAACATGCAAAATAAACCCTTATTTCTTTACTTATAAGTTGGATAGCAAAAATAAAAATGAAAAAAAGATTTACATTTTTCTTAGATTCTTTCGTAAGTTGGACTTACTATAAATGTGGAGGTATATAGTCTCATAGCAATTAATTAGAGTCACGCAAATATCGGTGGTCTGGCACATGATGTCTTAATTTTACAATAAAATCATCATGAAATACTATAAAGGTCAGTTTGTTAAGGCCGGCTAAATAAAAAAATACAGCTATACATTTGTATACAATATAATACAATTAATAAAATATATAATATTTCTTCTTCGAATTCCAATGTCCATGTTATAGACATCACGACTTTTAATTTATCGTTTAAACAACTTTGCAGTTACATTTATTGGTGTTAAACGTCAAATTTTGTTTTCATAGTGTCTTGCATCTCCTTTAAAGCACGGTTATGTATTTTAGCATGACCCTAGGCGACCATACTTGTCATTTTTCACAACAGGTAATGTAAATTTTACAACTTATTTACACATAATTCGCTTGACAAACGCTGAAGCCCGGTTACATGGGTCAAAATTCCATGTCAGCAATCAAGGACCCTCAAACTCACGGAAACAGTGCAACATCTTCCATTTATACACGTACCATGTTTTTATTACATAGGTATTTATATATTGTATAAACAAAGCAGGAGGTGCAGTGCATCCTTGCCTACTCCATCGTGAGCGGTATGTTAATATGCTGCACTAGATTTAACTGGTTTCATTAATTAATTTGCAACTACGTATTACATTGTTGTTTTAAAAAATCTGCTGACGTATTTTCGTAACATATTTTTCAAAGAAAAAAATCCCTCATAGATTGATTTCGAGTTGAAGTATTTCTTTTCATCTGTGGCTCTTACGCAAATAAGTTATTTTTTGACAGACGGCTACGTATTTATAATGCTTGTAATTAATTATTTTATGACAAAACATTCGGTGTAAATTAGGTTTAATTAAACCCATGGATCATCAACACAACTCGGATGCTATAAAAGGCGCGAATGAAATTAATCTAAATACGATACCATCTGTTCCGTTACCGACGTAGACGACAAAAACGAAATGGGAGATATGGAAACAGATCAGGAATTTAACGTTTCTAGTGTACCATTTTCTCATTATAAGGATACTGATACTAACAAAGATGGTCAAACTGACATGGAATCAAATGATATAAAGAGCCTCCCTGGATTATTGAAATCAGGAATTAAATCAGTGGACACTCAAAGTGAAGGTGATCTGCCAGGAAGTAGGAAAGTTTCTTTCTATAGTGACGTCGGAAGTCATAGTCAACCTAACAGTCGGAAAGTTTCACAAAACGTCGACGCTGGCGGATTTATACAACAGGGACAATATTTACACCCTCTATATACTGGAATTCCCCTCGCTCCTAATTACAGAAGGATATCATCGCAGCCGTTCTCTTATCATGGCGGAGAGTTTCCACCCAGCAGAAAAACATCAGCGGAAGTTTTTTATTACCCACAAGCTCAATACTTGCCAAGACCGTCACAGCACGGAAAAGTATCTGTGTTCTCAATTGGGAATTCCTCAGATACAGGAACTATAGGTGCCGATGCTGAAGAACGTATTCCACAGTTAGACCATTACAGAGTGAGCGTGTTTGACAACCAAAGGCCAACCTTATATCAACTCCGTGAAGATGAAATTGTAAGTATTTCTATATACTAGTATCAGTTTAATAACAAATGCACCATTAATATTAAAGATGAATATTTGGTCATGTGGAAACAGTCAATGCACTTATAAGATATTTTCTGCATACGCTGTTCACTAATGTATGTTGATTGGGAATGTGCGTAATAAGAAAGATTGATAACTCTACAGTAACGCAAGGTATTACACAATTAAAGTTTTAAATATGAAAGAAGTTCCATCTTCTTTATCCCCCAAGACGCAACATTTCCATAGACCCCCATCATCCCAGGGAAGTGGCGATTTCCACTGTCCCAACACTACCAACTTTATAATTATGGTTATTAGGTTTGTCGGGTCTAAGAAGCAGATTACCCGCATATATCTTAGGATGTGTATGGATTTTAGATAAGCTAATCACATAGTCTGATTAAGACAGCGTCAGACGGGATTTAATTGCGGTGCTGGGCCATTATACGAAACTTTCGCCATCATTTTGTCCCCAAGCAGCGGGAAAGTGTTTATACTGATATCTGAGTCATTATTTTCTATATTCCTCTGGATTATAAGGAGGTTAATAACTTTTAATGAAATAAACGTATCTGCTTTTGAATTGTTATTTGATGTAAATAATAAAAGTTAAAAGAAGGGCAAGCATAGATGCGACAATTAGCAAACACACAAAAATACAGCTTGCTCAAGACCATTATAGACCTTTTTGCAATACGATTTTCCATAGCAACGAATGTTGCATTTCGCGCATGCGCATTCTGCGTAGGGCAGAAAGCAATAACGATGTCTACAGTTTATCATACTTTAAGGCTTTAATAGATGCTGTTTCATGTTATGTCACCCAAAAAACATAAATTTTGGGATGACTTAATGCGGTAAGTACAGAAAACGTGAATTTATATTTAAAGGATCTACGAAAATGTGCGGGAGTAATAATTCAATGGTCAAAACGGGCACACACATGTCCTTGTTTAAGGTATCATTAGACGACTTTTCCATCAGTAATCTAAATTGAAACAGCAGGGTGTTATAGATAAAATTTTATTACCCCTGTATTACATAATATTACACAATTTGTATTGTACACTTCCTTTGAATAACTGGATTGGTCAGGCGGCAAGTGTCAAACAGATTAATGGCACCCGAACGTTTGTTCATTGAACCGGGACGTTTAAATATCATGATATAGTTAATCAGTTACGCTTATTAAAATGGTAATTTATATAACTTTTAAATATATGGATTTTGAGAAGAGAAAAATTGTGTCACGCGCATAATAAAAAATAATGTATTACGAAGAAGCGGATAAAATGTGTGTGATATCTTTTCCAAACAACCCATTTTAGCATCTCAAGATTTTGAAAAAAAAATAATCAATTATTTAAAATCTATTTATGTGCCTTAAATTTTTCTATTTGCATCACAGGCAAATCGGATAAAGGATAAAATCAGGTATATTGAACACTAAAAATGCATTATCACCTGTTCTGATATTTTTCTGAATGATAATTTATCTCCATTTCATGTTATATAATTTCTTTTGTTTTTAAATGAACTATTTCAACAGCAAATAAGTTGACTTTTCATTTGCTAATAGATATATCTCCGCATCTTCTTTAAAGAAGTGAGCTCAGTGTCAGTTCCGTGATCGTAAATTCTTAAACAAGTGTCTTTTTCATGCCTTTTTATGGCATTCTTCGCCACAAAGCTATAAAGTCATCTTTTCTATATTTGTTGAAAGCTATTTTATATAATTTTCTACCGTTTACCTTGAACTAACTCGGAATTGTCTATGAACTTTTACTATATTTCTATGTAGGGCGAAGGATTTCTTGCCCTACGCAGATTGCGCATGAGCGAGAAGATTCTAATTCCGGTCGATCTTTCATAGCAACGGACCGCGTCGTAAAAAGGTCTATACATGGAAAGTTAGTACATCTTTGTGTGTAGATATATGAAATGAATTTCAAAACAAAATTGAAAATTTCAAAATTGCATTTTCATCCATTTTTAAGGGTAACGTTAACCCTAGGCAAAACACCAAAGTTTGTTGGTAAAAAAGTATAAAAATCTTGTCCACAACTAAAAACACAAATTTCAAATTTTGATATTTACTTTCTTTTTTGTTCGTTTTAAAGTTGCAGTAAATGACTTACAGTATCGCGGACGTTTTCTATTACATACTTATATTAAATTCCCAGCTTTTAGCTGTAAAACATGCATGCAAACTGGCTTTAATTTCACATTTATTGACAAAAATGAAAGGAACGCTTTCATTTTTTACGAATTTCTGCCAACACTGAGTTGCAACAACACACGAGAACGAAAAAAACAATGAAGTTAATTAATTTAGTTATTTAAAGCAACAGCAAGGAGATTAATTGTTCCTCATTATTTATTTCACCTACGAATGTACATAATTAAAATAATTAAAACACTAAAAAGGTAGTAAATAGCTTGCAAAACAAATCTTGATAAACATTTTACACTATTTTGAAATTGAAACGTTAATGGGTTTCACGGTCTGTCAGTGCTCGCTTATAAATCCTGTTTATTTTTATGACAAGCGGTGGTCACATACATTATAAAATATTACCAGGCCCTGGGTCTTTACATAGACAAACATATTTCAAGTGCATTTTTATTTTTGTATTTTCATTTAATCTGCAAATAAAAAGGAACTCCACTGAGGTTTAAAAGCTTTAAAAAATAAATTCTAAATTTCTTACATAGATGGCTGAAACAATTCAAACAGAAAGATTTCAAGAAATATACTCTGAAATAAATTGAAATTGTATATTTGTGCTATTTTTACAACCCTTTTCAATTCTGGATCATTTTTCAAAATAAAATCCAATATTTTGCAAAACCGAGTGAGAACTTGATCTAAATGTTTGCACACTTTTTTGTATAAACCTTCATCAAATGGAAAATTTCTATCTCGTAAAAATTTCTAGTCCCGTCATGTCAAAAAAAACTCAGTAGAGTCACCTAAATTGCTATTCAAAGTTTGACCAACCTGCTAATACCAACATCAAAGACAGTAAATATATCTACAGCGAGTTTTAGGTCTATGCTATAAAAATGCTTGATTATTGCTTTGAATTCATCTGGTGTGAGACAATATATATATATGACCATAGCTTATACGTGATTATAACAATTATCGCGACGTTTGTATGAGATAATAAATCAAATTTGCATTTAAGAAACACAATTTCATTAATTAATCTGCTCATCCGAATGGCAAGCTCGTTTCATTCAGTAATGTTGCTGATATGTTGTCCGAATAAACAAAACATATCCAAATTAATGAAGAACAGTTTAATGAAGTAGCACTGCTCTAGATTCTTTGTATTCTATTATAAGGTTACGTTCGTGTGGATTTAAGAAAGAGATCAATAGTCTATTAAATGATACAGAAATAATCACTCTGGGACATGGCGTTCTAGATACTAAAATAACCTACTAAGCTAGTAAATTAACAGACAAATTGAATCAAAACAATTAAAGTAACGGCTTGACACCCCTGGACATTTCTAAGTTAAAAATCGAATATAAAATCAAGAATATGCCTTTTATCAAAACAAAAACAGACAAGAAACAGAGACGGTGTATTCGATAAATGGTACTTCTCTATGTCTGTATTTTATGTGTATGTTTATATTGTCCTTCATGGATTGATTTTACATTTTTCAATCTTTTTTTTTCTGATTTTGTATAATCATATATGTTTTAGAGTACCTTTTGTTAAGTACATGTCCATACAAACATTATTTTTGCATATAGGAATGTATTATTTATACACTTTGGGTACTGTTTCTTTTTAATATAAGATTCAATGTCTGTCGGATCTTCATTCTTCTCTTCGTAATGACGTAGAATTTACTTTAATGTATCAATCCGATATAATGTTGATCCACATATGCATCTTTATATTTTAAGAGAGCAAACGAGCAGTTTTCACCGACGGGGCCGCCGACAGAATTGTTTTCCGACGAACTGTATGACGATGCTGAAGAAGGGGGAGGGAAAAATGAGTCTGTTACAGTCAGTGGTCTCAAGTTTGGATGGATTCAGGGCGTTCTGGTATGTCTGACATAAAATGAAAACAAAATGTGTGAGCTTCAACTACAGCTTTATGAGCACTAGCGTCTGTTGTGGTAGATATCTGCATCTAATTCATGTAATTAATCATTAATGGTAGCATACTTTGTAAAATCGGATGACACGTTGCTTCATGCTTGATTTCATCGTTAGCAGGTATAGAGATATAATTATATCTGAGATATAAACTGAATACGTCATAAAATGTTAAAATAAGATAAATTCAACATTTCTCGTTACAAACTATACATGTATATAATATGTTTAATGCTCACAGATATGAAAACAATTCTTTATACTAGTATACATGTATATTTTGTTTTACATATCATATAGATATTTAAAAAAACATATTACACCGTTTATATAAAACTTCCTTTCATTATAATTTGTATTTAATAATGATAATAGATCTTAGTTAATTTTCATGAAATAATCAGTGCATTTGTAAACAACATAATATGAGCCGCGCCACGACAAAACCAACATAATGGGTTTGCGACAAGCATGGATCCAGACCAGCCTGCGCATCCGCGCAGTCTGATCAGGATCCATGCTGTTCGCTTACAAACCCTATAACAAGTAAAGAAACTGATAGCGAAGAGCACGGATCCTGATTAGACTGCGCGGATGCGCAGGCTGGTCTGGATCCATGCTGGTCGCAAACCTATTTTGTTGGTTTTGTCGTGACACGGCTCATATAAGTTTGTAGCCTACGGCCAACTAAAATTAACACTGTTTTCTCTAGAGGAGATGTGTATTCACATAACGAATAAACATTTACTTTCATATTTAAATATATAACTAACATTAGTCTATAATTTCACAGGTTCGATGTCTTCTGAACATATTTGGTGTAATGTTGTTTTTGAGGTTGTCATGGGTGACAGGTCAGTCAGGTATTGGACTAGCAACTGTCATTATTGCTTTGTCCGGTGTAGTTACCTCTATAACTACAATGTCAATGTCCGCAATCTGTACCAACGGAGAGGTAAAGGGAGGTAAGCCAAACAAAATATTTAAACGTATAAATCCCGTAACGTAATCTTGAATGCGATTTGTGCAATATATGACCGTTACGAGCAATGTAGTAAGGAAACGGACCAATTTATCTCATACTAAATCAAACTGAATGAAACAAAGTAGCGCAAACAGCTTCAAAGACATTAAAAGTTAACCCGCATTATAAATATTTTACTGAAAGAGTGTTTATTTTTCAATATTATTCGTTTTCATAAAACGCATATGATACTTTTATTGTTTTTTATTAGTTTCCCTCAAATAAAAAGAACTAACGCATTCGTATTTAGGAAATAGGTAGACAGACATATGACACACATTTATTCTTGATGCCGTTTTTCTTGTTAATACATGTTCCAGAGAAACACTATTGATATGAAATTAAGTTTGAATTATTTTTGTTTATTTGTGATTACACTGTTTATTTCAGGTGGGGCGTACTATATGATATCACGGAGTTTAGGACCAGAGTTTGGTGGTTCCATTGGTGTGGTGTTCGCACTAGCAAACGCTATTGCTGCTGCTATGTACATTGTTGGATTTGCAGAAACTGTCAGGGACATAATGTGGGTAAGTCCTATAAAAGTCTTAACAGATCATGGTTCAATTAAGTCAGCATTTGGTTTTTTTTATAGCATGCAGGTCAAAGGTCAAAATAATAAAATTTACAGTATGAGATTGTTTCGACCACACATGAAGAAAGGAAGGAAGAAAGAAAGAAAGAAAGAGAAAGAGAAAGAAAGAAAGAAAGAAAGAAAGAAAGAAGAAAGAAAGAAAGAAAGAAAGAAAGAAAGAAAGAACGAACGGAGGGAAGGAAGGAAGAAAGAAGGAAGGAAGGAAAGAAACAAATAAAGATAGAAAAGAATGGAAGAAGGAAGCATTTTACGAAATACGAGCATAGTCAAAATTTAACACACGACATACATTATAAATGTTCAACTAAATTAACAATAATGTTAAATTAACACTATTGAGATAGACCTTATGTTATATGAATTGAATTTATTTTAGTTAAATGTCATAAGAAAGCAATTAACTGACATAATACACAGTTCTACAGGAACGTTAAATGGTCTCCACATGTGAAGGATAATATTCTTAAAAGGACGATGATCATATTACTTGGAAACATTAATCTTGTGACTTAAGTGACTAGAAGATATGGTTTGTCATCAAAAGCTAGTAAATCAAATTTAGTATTTTCAACGTGTGCCTCTTCCAATCAAAATGGCATTTTTATTTCTTGAACAGGGTTATATATCTGCGCTGATTAATTTTCACTAAGATGTATTAATTTAGCAAAGATTAAGATATTTTCCGATATAGAATGTGTTCTTATCTGATATCATGACGCGAAAAAAACTAAATTTAATTGAAAAAGGAATTATTACTTTGACCAACGAGCACGTGAGGTCATTTATCATACATGAAGTATAATTGTTTTACTTTATGATATTTTATTTCAGGAGAACGATGCGTACATCACGGGAAATAGTATTAATGAAGTTAGAATCATCGGACTGGCCACGTGTTGTTTGTGTCTGGGCATCGTACTGATTGGCATGGAATGGGAAGCGAAGGTAAATAACACGTGCGGATTTAATATTGACACGTTGCCACGTTCCGTTAATATTGGTACCTGCCGCAACATACCGGCGACTGTTGATGAATTGTTCCGATTGTTATTGTATTATCGGGCTTGATTATAATAAAAACTGACGAGATACCTGACTATAATAGGAATTAAATTACACTTTATTGATATTTATTCAGTCCATTTCGCTTTAATTAGTTATCAAAATAAATGTATTAATTTTCATCATCTGTTACTGTTACATTGTAGTTTTAAGTGGCATGAATTAATGGTTAGCAATTTGTTTTTATATTTAATTTCTCTGCGAACTGTAAGGCTTACTGTAATTGGTAAATATAAATACTTGGTAATCTAACATTTATCCGGTATAAAATATAAAGTCACCACATAACATTTCAGCATCAACAGAGGTTTGTTTGTATGTTTTGTTGGACTTTAAGTCATAGCCCTTTAATCGAACACTTTCAAGCTTTACTGAAGGAGGAAGACATAAGTTCCCTATTTGTGCATTATTTCTGGCACGAGCGGGCACCAGAGTAGAAGGACCGACTTTCCGTAAGCTTGCTCGGTTATTAGAAATTACATCATTTCAGCTATTTCCGTCAAATTATTGATATAATTGACGAGGTTTTTCTAAAGTGTCACGCCTTTTCTTAATAATTTTCCGAGAAAAAAAAACAACAACAAGAAACGATATGGACAACACATGTAAAGGATCATAGACTTGATTACCCCGCTCCTCCCACCCAAGTTCCATTGGCTAATAGTAATGTTATCTTGTCTAATGCACTATTATTTCAGGCACAGCTTGTCTTACTGGCTATTTTGAGTCTTGCAGTAATCAATTTCTTTGTCGGCACTTTTATACCTCCTGACGATGAGAAGAAATGGAAAGGTGTTGTAGGATATAATGGTAAAATGAATAACATTTTCTTTGTCTGATAACAATTCCTAAGACTGTATTCGCCAATTAATATGAGCCGCGCAAAATGCACTACGTTTCAATTTGGTGTCACAGTAACACATGAAAATTACTAGTAGTTAAGTACCAACTTTAGCCTATAAACCGCACTTACGAAAAGTAAAACATTTTATTTCCCTCAAAACTGATTAAAAATAGTAACATGTCAGCACACAATTTGACATATGAATAAGATACCCTGATAGCCCTATGCAAACACTACAACAGAAGGGGAAATGAACCTCGCGCGTGCGCTCTCTACAGATAATGGAGAATAATCAATATATTTTATACGGCTTCTTACTTTCTGAAGTACCCATTACATATGCTCAATAGCAAAATTATCGCACCAATCATTGAAATGTATTTGTAAGAATGTGCAATTGTAACTATGCATTAAAATATGCTAATAAGTTGCAAGTATTGGAGTAAATCTTTTTTCTTCTTTTAGATGAAACTTTTTCAACGAACTTTGTTCCTCATTTCACCGACGGCAACAGCTTCTTCTCCGTGTTTGCGATATTTTTCCCGGCGGCTACCGGCGTCCTAGCTGGTGCCAACATTTCTGGAGACCTTAAGGTATTGTCATAAATTCATCGTCACCTTTGTAGAGTGACACTTGTCCTCATTTATCTATGGTTAATGAAATGTTTCAAGATTATTTTTGTGAGAGATGTAACTGGTTCAAATTCTTAATATCGCATTTTCTTTCGCGTCTTTTTTTGCCCCTTCATTGTATTGTATTGTATTGTATTGTATTGTATTGTAGGTTTTTCTTACTATTTCACAGCTATGATGCTTATTCGAGAGCAAAACCATTTTGATGATGCAGCTGGCTCCAGCTTCTTATTATTTCCCTTAATTATACTAATTTGAATGATTTCATTAGTACATTTTATGCTTTACCGTCACCATAATCATTCTTTCATTTAGAAAATTCACTTTAAAACTAAGTTTACTCTTACATTTGCAGAACCCACAAACTGCGATTCCAAAAGGCACATTCCTCGCCATATTGATGACGTCACTCGTATATATAGCTATGGTATGGGCCATCGGTGGATGTATAGTTTTGACGGCGGTTGGCGAGATTCTGACACCGGGAATGTTTATGGATCCTGTAACCAACGCAACCATTACCCCGACTTTGGATATAGTACAAAACTGTGCGGCATTCAATCAGTCCTGTGAATCTGGGCTTCTTGTAGATAATGGAGTAAGTATGTTTTAATAGTACAGAAGAAGCTCTGACTGTTATGCTAAAAATAGATATATTACGATCGTGAGTGTCATCCTCTCTTATTAACCTTTAACCTTAGTATTTGAATTCTTTAAATTCTTTAACAAGTATTTAAAAAAAATATTCGGCTCCTTTTAGTGTGCATAATGATTTTCCATTGTATGTCCGTCCCGCTGCCCCACTGTCACACTTTCCTGCTATCGTTTTCTATCCGTAGACTGTCAAAAGAGTGGCTTTAGGGGCATCCATTTCCTATGGACACGTCTTTAGTTTAAGAATATCATAAATTGTGATGGTTGTATCTGAATCACATTTAACAGTACCGCAGTTAATGACTTGTGTTTAATTTTGAAAACAGATTTCGTGTCATAGATATAACCTAGTTTAATTTGGAAAGAGAAATAATTCAAATACATGTATCGTTTGTTACAATCTGCTATGATTATTTTATTAAGTAACTTACTTATCAGTGGCCTTCTGTATCGAATCTAATGATATTTTCACGGTGCCTGTACTTCAGACAAATACTTCCCATCGTTGTTTTAAGTTTAGATTCATTATTATTTTGTCCATCATTTTCTTTGATTTCAGATGGTCGGCATAGCGTCTGCATGGAGGCCACTTATTTTGGCGGGAATATTTTCTGCAACATTATCGTCTGCTTTAGCAAGTATGGTCGGAGCTCCAAAGGTGTTCCAGGTAAAAATTTTTGTATAAGTTTTCACTTAATTTACCTGCTTAATTTTAAATCAGGTTATACCAGGAAAAAACTTGTTGTTATTTCCGGCGGGTAGGTTTGCACCTTGGCGTAAGCGATTCTTTCAATGCTGAGCTCCTACGTTTCTCAAAGGATCAATTGGCCTTTGATCTTTTTTGCAGAATTATATTGTCCTTTATTCTTTTATATGTGTAATATATGCGAAAAACTTTGTGCTTTGTGCAATCTGTCGCTCGTTATGATTTCTTTATCAACTTAAAAAGAATCTTTGACCATTAAAGGATTTATCAACCAAAATACACATGTATACTGAACAACTAACTTACAGACGGCACACAGGTGTTTGCTGGTGCGGTTCTATACTGGTGACATTATCATACATCTGAAATTAACGCCTCAAGCGATCAAACCCTTGATGAAAAAACAACAACAACAATGCATTGAGAACTTCCAATACCATTTGACCAAAACATTTAATAAGAATAAATCAAATGTACAAATATTATTAAAAGACAAAAAAGAGAAAGAAATCAAAGAATGAAAAAGGAGCGTTTTCTCAAATACCTGTTTAACTGCCTGATAAAAATCTGATTTTGAGTATTTAAACTCTTTGATGTAACAACCCGCATCAATTTTCATGCATCTTAAATCGAGAATTTATTCTTTAGTGATGTTCATTCTCACAAAAATAATTGCGAACCACCTTTAAGTATCATGAAAATTAAACATTATATAATCATTTTTCTTTTTGTTAATTTTCTCCGATTTCTTTTAATCGCATGCAATTTTTCGTGCTAAAATACAGTTAGTAAGAAAGGAATTACGAGGTCCATATAAATCAGGCAGAGTCCGCAATTTGATAAAATCATGATTACCCTTTTAATTGGGTGCTGCGTGCTTCCGCTGTTAACTTAAAATCAATTACTCGTGCACTGTGACTGTGCACGGGCGACTTAGGTCTACATTACTTTAGATATTTTATCCACGCATGGCGTCGTCTTCTTGTGGGCCGCACTGTGCCATCTTTAATAGGGCAAATAATTAATGGAGCAAAACTCGACGTAATGAGGTAATTACGAAAGTGCAAATCACCTTTTCCAATTAGCTACAATTTTGATAAGGAATCAATCATATTGGCACAGAAGTCAAGCACCCTTCAAGCCTTTCTTTTAATCATGTTGCTAAACGAAGATTAAAATTTAAATACAGTATTTAGATTAATATATCTCAGAAATGAAGATTTTACAATTTCTTTCATCGTTAATTTCAGGCGTTGGCGAAAGACAAACTTTTCCCATATATTCACGTTTTTGCAAAGGGTTACGGGCCAAGTGGGGAACCAAAGCGAGCGTATTTTCTATGTTTTGCTATTTGTTTGGCAATGGTTTGTGTGGGTAAGAAATTTTTTCTCAAAATTTGTTTGCAGTAAATCATGAATGAGAAAAAAGGATACATATTTTATGGTATATTGATGGATAAAAAATCAATCTTATACTTTGTATTGCCATTTGTAATGGTCTTGAATTCTCATCCTTAATATAACGTGTATGCTGCGATTTTGGTAATTCAATAAACGGTGTTTTGATATATTGATTGACATTTTTTTCCCAAGACGATTTCGAATTCCTTTAGCTGCTGGCTTCGCACAAGAACTAAGGATCAAGGATTTTTGAAAAATAGCTAGAAGAAAAGAAGATACTGCAAGATTTCGGGGGTGGGGGTGGTGATCGACTATCAAGACTTTATTGTTTAAAAATATCAAAGTTTTATGTTGTAAATTTATTTACTATTGTGTGTGTTTGCAAAGTTTACAAGTATCTTTCTCTTCAACATTACGATACGTTAATTCCTCTTACAATTAAAGATGCGTCGTTCATTGATACAATATCGACAAATTCCGTTATTATAAGGGGTTATAAAACTTGTTACTTGCGTGTCCCTAAAAATATTACTTTTTTTTTACAGGCTCTCTCGACCTTATTGCACCGATTATTTCCAACTTCTTCTTGATGGCATATGCGATGATCAACTTTTCATGCTTCGATGCGTCAATGGCCAATTCACCAGGGTTTAGGCCGGGCTTCAAGTACTACAGCAAATGGTTAAGTCTTATTGGATCCCTGCTCTGCATTGCCGTAATGTTTCTGATCAACTGGTGGGCGGCGCTGGTCACGTTTTTGATTGTTGCTGGCTTATACTTTTACGTCTTTCGGACAAAGCCAGGTAAGGGAATTATCTGTTGGTAAAATACTTAAAAGTGAATTTGTTCTACTCAATCGTTTAAATTGCTATGACATTGGTACTGATCGGACATAAGATTAATTTGTGATTTTTTTTGTAACATCAACTAAAATAGACACTTTGAATATGATTTATATTCATTGATAAGAACCTATCCAGATGACTTTAAAATTAGATATAAACTCTATTCTGCATTTTTATCAGAGGTAAACTGGGGCTCATCGACCCAGGCAAACGCATACAAAGATGCCCTAAGATCAACGTTAAAATTGATCAACGTTGATGACCACGTGAAGAATTATCGTCCTCAGTTACTCGTGCTGTCAGGGTATCCAAGGAACCGGGCAAATCTCGTGGACTTTGCGTCATCGATCACAAAGAAACAAAGTCTTCTGGTTTGTGGTCACGTGTTCCAGGTAGGTCTTTTACTGCGTCATTTCCGCTTCTAATATGTCACTAGAAAGCGACCGATTGCCAAGAATTGGGTGTTTCTAGTTATATGGAATCAAATCCAATTTTGATTAGAAACTGTTTTTAAACTGTCAACCAAATATACGATCTTTCTCACGTGTATGTCAAAAACCTAAAGCCTCACAATTGTTGCGGACTGTTTCAAAACATTTTGTCAAGCATGACAATTTTAGTATCCATACATCTAGTACTCCTTTTGTTCCAGTTGGCCATGTTTTCCGTATGAATATGTGACAGTTTTTAGCTTTTCTTAAACCAATCGCGTGACTGATACTTATCTCTTTCTTTTTTTCGCCACAGTTCTAATTTTTTTATTGCGAATGCTTTTTATTATGTAAACGTTACGACACGTCTTAACATTCGAGTGTCATACTTTACATTAATTTGAATTCCGTGTCAAGCAGACGACACTATTTTCTTTCATCCGCGTTTCTTTATTTAAACAGATTACCGTAAGTTAATTTCAGCGCCTCTTGTATGCAGATTTATTTCTTTGTCTTCATTTTAACCTTTTGATCTCAATGAGATAATGTCTCTAGATTTGTGATTTTTATGTGATATTCCATTGCAATTAATGAGTTTTGGTAATGGAATACAACGTTGTATTATTTCACGCGCAACCGATCATATTAAAAGATGATGATCGAAAAGTGAGATTGATATGAATTCAAGCTTCACACGATTTATTAATCTTTTACATAAATATACTTCTTTTCTAATTCAATATTTGATAAAGCCTATCCTTCTTCTCATCTAAGTTATATAATCAAGTTCTGTTCCAAGATTGTATGCTATCTGTATTATTGTAATTGATATCAAAGCATTTTATTGTTTATTAAATAAGTTTAAATTTGTTTTTAAATCTCTTCGTGCACCCTTTTGGTTCTAAACCTAAAAAAAATGCAAAATATTTCCAGGTAGTTGATACAAAGTTCATGCTCTTCCATCGTATCCTCTCATTTCTCAAAGTATCTCTAAGGATTTTTTCTTCAAAATGAAAAACATACTAGTCAACATTACTTTTTTGTAAAACAAGTAATCAACGACTTACTTAAACATTTTGTTTATAAATCCTAACATTAAATTTTGATTCTAAATCATAACATAACATAAGTTTACAACTTATATATTGAATCGAAGAAGTTTACAAAATTGAATCAAAATAACATGTTATTCGTCTTCTATGCAAGGTTCGTCACAATATAGGCAGTACAGTAGTTGGCATGGCTTTTTATTACCACTCAATACTATATGTATTTGTATATCACTAGGGTGACTTTGAAGAACACATGACAAGGGTACGATCCATGTCCGCGTACAGATGGTTTGAGAACAAAAAGATCAAGGCATTTTATAACAGCGTGTGTGCACCAACATTTAGAATAGGCGTCCAGGTTCTTCTACAGGTAAAACTCGTATATTTTCTCTCATTAATTTGAATCATAATTATCATAATGCTGTCATTAAAGTTTTCCTGTTATAATTCTCTTCTTCGTATCACTATGTACATATTTGGTTTTACGGCGCAACACAATTTAGGTCATATGGCGCCGAAACAGGAAAGGTGATTTTTTTAGCTAACCCCGGATCACCAGTATTACAAACTTTAAGCAAAATCAGGGTTCAAAACCACCTTACCTGCTGGAGCTAAGAAATGCTAGCCTCTCGTAATTCGAACCCATTTAGCCGCCTCTTACGGTCACGCAGAGATAAACGAAGACTGCAATTCTGAAACCTCAACCCTTAAAGGCAACCACTCAACCACAAGGGTTCATATACATAATATAAATGTATACAAATGCAATGTTTGCCCACAATATGAACAATTGACATTAAAAATAAAACCTAATGGAGCCTTTTTTCTCCTGTGTGGCTCGTTTTATTTTTATCTTGTTTTTTAAAGATTTTATCTGTCTTAATCTTGAGAAAAAACATGAATTCTTTTGATGCGAAACAATAACAAAGTCATATAAACTGGACTGTTGGGTGGCCTTTATAATAGACATGAAACATGCTGTATCACGACTGACAAAACGTGTCTTCCTTTTTGTTAATTACTGTCGCACGTGTCATCTTTAAATGTTTTATAACTGACCATCTTGGTGACTTTAATTACTGATTACTGTTTACACGATCAGGCTGTTGGTGTGGGGAAATTACGGCCAAATACATTACTACTTGGTTACAAGAACGACTGGCAAAAGACCGATCCTCTAGAAGTCCTTGACTACTTCAACGTCATACAGTAAGGCGATTTGTTCAAATTAAAATGTCTAATTTTATTGAAAATTTTATATTTATTTTTATTTATTTTATTATTACTATTATATCGATACCATTTTGCTCAAAAATCAAACTTTCACGGAATGTTATTTAGTTTAAACGAAAAATTGTTCTACATTTTAATAAAGATAAGCATGAAATTTGGTTGAACACGTGGTGCTTTAAATCTTGCCTTTAACTTATTTATCCCTAGTCTGACATCTTTTGTTTCAGAGATGCATTTGATTTGAAGTATAGCGTAGGAATTTTACGTTGTGATGGCGGATTTGACAGAAATAAAGTTCCAGATAATATTCTAGATCTAGACAGTCCTGAATTATTTGATTCTGATGAAGAACCGGAAGACGATGATGGTATGACCTTGATGACATTTTTAAATACAATATTGATTTATCACAATTTTGAATTTGATTTGTAAATCTAATTCATATTGATTTTAATTGGGAAAATGTCATTCTTTCATATGTATTGGATTTCAAGAGCTGATTTACTCTAAAAATAGTTCTTTTAGCTGTTTAGTGTGCATTATATATGCATTTTGAAAGGTACATTATTTGTTAAACACTCACGCATTTGTTTGTTTTTGAACGTTTATTAGATGAAACTGTTGAGGAACCTGTAAAGGACGTACGTAAAGAATCAAACAATATACCAAGCACTGTTGTTGAGAGAAAAAATAGGAACAACAAAACTAACAACATGCATCTGAAACGGTTAAATACATTAGAGGAAGGAGTGGAAAATGCCGCATTTGAGGGTATGTTTACTATATGTATTATGTTTTGTGGAAATTAATAAACATAGATGTAGATTTATGTTTATTTGAAAATTCTAAAATGGCCGAAAAAACAATCTTATATTTAATAAGCTATAAAGACGTATCTAATTATTTTTATACATTTGCTTATACATGTATATTCATCCTCGTTTTCTTTGTTTTCTTTGACACCTACAATCGAAGGTTAACACGTATTTTCTAAGGCTATTTAACATGTGCATTTTATCTTAGCTCTCTTTCAAAAAGAAAATTAATGTAAATGTATTAGAAAAATAATAAAATTTAGTTTCTTTTATTTAGAAACACAGGTTACTGGAACTAAATCTACAACTACTCCTTCCTTACTCTCACAAGATGTGCCCGAAAAACCGCCGACAAATTTCAAAGATAAACAATACGGAACCATAGATGTCTGGTGGCTTTACGACGACGGAGGTATGTTATAAAATTTTGCTCGGTTTTATCCGGCTTATTTGTCACTCTCCATCTCATACAAAACTTTTAATAAGCGGGGTTTGTTACCAGTATAAGATAAAATCCTTACAAGAGCTTTCCGTATAAATATGAGGTATGGAAATAGCTGGATGCCCGCAAATCATAAATTTTCAAAAACATAAATATGGCAGTAGAATTTCATATGTATAAAAAGTTAGTTACATTTTGAGTTATGTCACAATGCTGTATAGTAAATGATGCGTAATATAATTTTTTTTACATGCGCGTCTGAAAGAGATGAAGAAAAGAGAAAACAATATATTTTATAGTTTCCCCGAACAATTATCTTACAGGTCTCACGCTTTTATTGCCGTACATTCTACACCAAAGAAAACAATGGAAACATGCTAAATTACGCGTGTTTTGTCAAGGCACAAAGAAAGGGGACGTCACTGAGGACCGAACTAGGTTGATATTTTATATACAGTTGTCTCCCTTAACTTTTAGCTTTTTTTCGGTTAAAAATATTATGTGCATATAGATATTAAGATACAACAAAACTGTTAAACAACATACCATATTTTAACTAATTACTGATTCATTTGATTTATAAATCAGAGGAATGAATTTACGTTTATCAATATTACTAAAGAAAAAATAACAAATAGATCTAATTGTTTGTTAAAATCAATTTTCTACATAAAACAGTTTGTGCTTGTAACCTATATCAGTTTATCAGTTTATTAATTTATGTTATTTTTTCTTTTATAGAATGGCCTCATTGTTAGCTAAATTCCGTATTGAATATTCCGAGCTGACGGTCGTGACGGAATTAAACAAGAAACCTCAACTCTCAACGTAAGTTTTTATAATAAATCATAGTCAGGTTTATGCTGCGGATGGAAACCACTTATTTTAAGAGCGTATATTTTGAGACAAATCCTGGCCATAATAACACAATTTCCATTTCCATTTTAAGTCTACTTAGAAAAGTTTTACCGTAAACAGTATTTCACGAATTTACAAAATTGTTTATTGTTTTTGGTATATCTTAATATAAAATTATAAAATATACAATACTTTTACCGTGTAGTTTTTATTTTATTAAACTTTTAAAATATCTTGTATCATATTTGCAATTAAATTTTGACATTATTTAGCAAATCAATACCTACAATAATTAAAATCAAACACTTCGATCTGAGAGGCACATGAATAATGTTAAAAAGAAAAAAAAGGAAAGAAAAAAAAGTTGCCTCTTCTTGGGTTTGAACCCACGCCTCTCAGTTTCAATGCAGTTGACAAGTGATTCTAGCCTATTTGAATACTCTTCAAGTGAGATTCAAATCACGTGATCGATAACATGATGCATTTTGCGGGGTGGGGTATTTTCCAGTGTTGTAAAGGGCAACAAACAAGTAGATTTTTTGCATGTTTTATTCCGGTCAATTATAATGTTTAAGTTATAAGTAAAATAACGTAACATACCTTTCATGGGGCCGTGCGATTGTTTGTTTTGTGTTTGTTTCATATATACAAGTACATGCATCGCAAGGCAGTACGCCATGTATATTATTTTCCTCGTTTTATAATTATTATATGAAAAACAAGATGGCTGTTGCATTTTTCATTCAGTTTGTATGAACATTATAACAATTATAATTTCAGATACAGAGAGTTTGAGAGTCTCGTGCATCAATGGCGTGTAAAACCTGGTGAATTTCAGGAAGAATTCCCGTGGAAAATTGCAGATACAGATCTTATTGAACATAAACAAAAGGTAATAGAGGGCGTTATAATTTATTTCCATATCCACCTAAGACTCAAGAAAATATTCTTCACATTTCATAATTATATGCTTTCAGAAAATTGAATAAAAGTTTACACTTGCAGAAGATTTAAAACTGTCATGACCGATCACTTTAAAACATATCAGTCAATGCTTGGACATTTTTGTCCAAGGTTCATGTAAAGTTTTTTTCTTTTTGTTTTTGTTCTTGTAATTTATGTGCCCTCAAAATATTGTTCTAGACATATAACCCAGTTTTTATGATAAAATTTGTTAATGTAAATCTGTTTTCCTCACGAAAACCATGTGCCGATAAAAGTTTGTTCGTGCAAATCAGTTTGCATCATAACATTTTTAATCAACTTTTCTCTTTCAATTTTGTTCTTGTAAATCAGTTTTACTGTTACATTTTTGTTAATATCAATCATATTTCCTTAAAATTTAATTTGTTAATGCAAATCAGTTTTCTTCATAAAATTTACTTTATGTCATTTTTTTTCGTTTAAAATATTGTTCATTTAAATAAGTTTTCCAGATACACTTCTGTTGATAAATTATTTTTGTATTATGCAATTAAGGTTAATCTTAGTTATTTTTCATTTTTAAGCTATGTTCAGTTTGATAAGTTTTAATCTTAAAATTGTGTTCGTTTAATTCAGTTTCCGCAGTAAAAGTTCGTTCATGTAAATAAGTTTACCTCATACTTTAAATGTAGAACATCATTTCTCATGTAATTAGTTAGTTCATGTAATTCAGTTTATGTTCATGTAAGGCTAATTTGTTAATGTAAGTAGAATTTTCGTTGAAGTAAAAAAAATTCTTCTTGTTTACAGACCTACCGACATCTTCGTATCCGTGAGAAACTTCTAGAGCATTCGAGAGACGCTTCTCTTGTCGTCATGTAAGTAAACAAAAACATCTTATTTATGTTTTAAGGAAGTAAATGTTCCACAGTAAGTTTCTGCAAATATGAATTGAATTTACATGTTATGATATCCAAGTAAATGTAGAATGGTAATGAAAGGTAAAATGGAAGTGAAAAATTTAAGTGAAATGCAAAGCATTTTAAGCATGAAAAGTAAAAGTTTAACGAGATATTTTGCTATGTAAAAATTGATATAAATATATATGATATATGTTTTAAATTTAAATGTTATAATATAATTCTATATATTTTCATTAGGACATTGCCAGTCCCTCGGAAGACCTCTTGTCCGGCTGGTTTATACATGGGTTGGTTGGAGATACTAACTAAAGGACTGCCACCTTCCCTTCTACTGAGAGGAAATCAGGAAAGCGTCCTGACTTATTATTCCTAGTTCTTAAAGGGACCATATTTTCGGACACTAAAGTTGTTAGGTTATACATCATATAACTAACCAAGTGATATGTCGATAGCAGTTTTTTTTTTGTTCTTTGTGTATTCATGTATTTCGCCGACAATATGATGTTTTACAAGTTAAGATATCGCACCATATGGAAATAAAGAAATTTTAAAGAAATACAACAGACGAAACCAGCGTTCCTAACCAATAACCATTTCTAATTAGCTTTAAAATGCAATTGACCTTTTAAATTGACCTTTCAATATTTTTTGTGTTTATCATATAATACAGATTATCACGCGGCTGGTATATTGGATGAATTATTGGTAACAGTTTCGCATTACGTTCCATGTTTTTATTTTTTTCATGGATATAATATTTCGGACAAGGTGTCAGTGATACTGTTGAAGTTTGACACGCGACAAGAAATAGACTAATTAAAAATAGATATATATCCCTACATTTGAGTGTTTATTATTGTCTAAATGTAACATCCGTACATAATCACTGGATGAAATGTTGGCTTCAGTACTAGCAACCAAATGTTCATTCGAGATATCATATACATGAAGTGTAGTGTAGAAAACAAGGGTATGAATTTAAGATGAGAAACTGATTGACAAAAACATTTTAACGGCTGTCAGTCATAACAATTAAGTCAGCTTGGTAGAACAAATTGTTAAGTATGACAATATTTGAACTTTGAAAAAAAAGAGAAAAGAAATACAAATGCACCAAAAAAAGTTATTTTAGAGAATCAGACACTTTCCATATTTTATACAGTTTATAAGTTTCCTGCTTACTTTATTTTGTTATGTCTAAAATAATTTATATTTCTTCATTTTCATAAATATTTACTAATTTCTTGTTAACATAATGGGAAAGCGTATCACTAATGAGTATTTTTTCAGGTAAAATTATTGTAAAAAATAATTTACACATCAAAAAATGTAATTTTAAAATTTGAGTGAACTTAGCCGATATTTAAACAATATTGTAAATTTAGAATTAATTCAAGAATTCTTTTGACAGTGGTAGTTACGTATTTTCACAGATTAACAGGTTTTGATAAAGGATCAGTCTGTATTTGTTTGCCATTCTGACGTCGTCTCTATTGACGTCATTTGATGCCGACATACCTCCTGTTTATTTTATAACCTGATGAAGGCTGGTTAGCCAAAATGTTGGTATATTTAAGGGAACTTTAAGAATTTGCAATTGACTACTTATTTTTCATTATTTGTTTAGATTTAACTTCTATAGCCATAAAAAGGCCTACGATTTTTTTTTCAAATGCGAAAAAAGTATGTAACTTAAAGAAACATTAGTGAATCATGATGACAAAAAATCTAAAAAAAAATCTGATGATGTCAAATGGCTAGAAATGTGCGAGGAGGTCTCTAATTAATCGCTGATCAACATTATTAATTCATTTTCCAGTAAAAGGGAAACACGTTAACCAAAATTTAACAAAATACATAACAGATGGGTGTTTTAAATCGGCCGCCACCCTTATCTGAAAAGTCACGTGTTCTGAAATCTAAACAAAAACCATGTCATTCAAGTAGTTTTTTGTTTTGCTTTTTTTTTCGTTATTCGAAAATGAATTTGTTTCGATTACTTCTCGCAAAAAAAATACATCTTGATAGGCTGTTAAGTTTAATGCATTTGATATCAATTTCATTTTATAAATGGCGATCAACAGAGTTTAACATCTAAAGCGTTTATCAATGTAATAATTGTTGTTATTGTTGATTTTTTATTATGAAAACACTATCATACGACATAAGCTGAGTGAACAAAAAATAAGAACAGACTAGAAATTTCTATTTGGATTCGCGAAAAGTACATGATCGATACAAAACAATGTAGAAACGTAATATTGTTACATAAGTATACTTCCTTTACAAATAAACATAAATTTAATACATAAATGGTATATAGTTTTCAATTTCGTTTAAAGAAGAAGAATGAACCTGACTTGAAAGTTAATATCTGTCATTTCTGAAACATTTCACCTGTACATCAACAAATGTTATTTATGCAATACAAGAAGTTGATATACATTGTATCAATATCTTATTATTAGTACAATGTACATGGTTTTGATAGATTTTCACAAATTTCTAGCTTGACTCTTAAGTGTACTTTCTTCGTAGTGAAGTACCACTTCACGTGTAAATAAATTTAGATATATCATTTGTCTTTAACGTCAACAAATAAGATTTGGTCATGAATTGTTATCATTATGTTGACTGTATGTTAATTACATGTATATATGTAGAAATAATGTTAACATTATGTTGATAGAATGTTGATATAATGTCGATAAGTATGTTGACATTATTCTGATAGTTTGTTGAGAATATGTTGAGTACATGAATATACTCTAAGTATATTGACATTATATTATATTGATATTATGTTGAAACTATGTTGAGTACATGGAATATGTTGTAGTTATGTTGATAGAATATGTGACAGCATATTGACATTATTTTCCTTCTATGTTGATATTATTTTGATAGTATGTTGATATAATGTTGATGATATGTTGACATTATATTGATAGTGTGTTGATACTATGTTGAGTACATGTATATGTTGTAGTCATGTTGACATATTGGCAGTATCTTGACATTTTATTGACTGCATATTGACATTATGATAATAGTATATAGACATTATATTGATAGTATGTCAACATTAGTTTGATAGTATGTCAACATTATATTGATAGTATGTTGACAGTATGTTGATACTTAGTTGAGTAACTGTATATGTTGCAGTTATGTTGACATTATGTTTATTACATGTATATATTGCAGTTGTGTAGAGTGTAGAGTTTTTTTATATTGTATAGATATCAAGTTGACATTATGTGGAAATTTTGTTAATATTTATATCTCAATTTTATTCTTCTTTTTATTATCAGTTTACGTTAAGTACTTTGCAATAATATCTGCCAGCCTTAGTAATAGCGTCGATTTGGTATGTTCGCTTTGTAAGTATTAGAGCCTTGTTTCGAATCGTAGAAAAATTATATTTCCCATGATTTAATTGCATTTAACTTTTCATTCTCATTTTAAAACCATATTTTGGATATGTCAACCAATGTTATGTAAAAGCTTAGATAGTTAATTATTGATTTGTAAATGAACACTCACGTGATTAACATAGAATATAATCGTGCAAAAAATCTGAAAAGATGAAAATTTCTGTAATAATTTTATTTATGTTATGATGTCAGAAAATTATAAGATGACATTATTTTTGACATAGATATGAGGGTATGTACATATTATTTTTTGCACTTGTTAACCCTATGTACAAATCATTGTAGATATATTACGTGCACATTTTTAATTTGTATATTATGTTATATTGTTACATAAATCTGCAATATTTAACACTTGTATTTTTATATTAAATTTATAAAAATATTTAGAATTATAACTTTTATTTAGTTTTATGACTTAGTATATGATAGCTAAATAAAACAATAATCAACTTATATGAATATTTGATTTATATATTTTAAGTACATGTACAGCGTCGGTCTGTTTTGTCAATTTAAAATTCAAAACGTTTTTATTTTTTATTGTCCAACCCAGAGAGCATTGTAATTGGCTACTATGATTTTGATCATATTACGGACGCATCCGATATTTTACGGGAATTCATTAATTTATTCTGAAGTGGTTAAGATAAAAGAAAACTGTGGAGGTAACACAGATATGGCCAATGTTGCAATTAAAACATGTCCACCATTTTTTAAAAATATTTTAAGAAACTAATTAATCATAATACATGAATATGTATACAATGCTGATGCATTTCAATCTGCCCTATATTCGACATGAACGCCGAAATCTCTAAACTTGCTACGTCTGCAATTTCAAACATGTTTATTTTTATTTCATTTAATTTCAATCTCTTTAAAACGGATGCCTCTCTGAATACAAAGGGAACCGGTCTGATTTAAAAGAAGAGGTACCCCAATATCAGGTTTTGTCGCGAAGTAATAAAAATTAAAGACAAATTAAATGACCTAAGAACCGCAAATTATGCTGTTGTTTAACAATGGATGTCAATGACTTTTAAAGCTCATCAAAACCTCTACCATACACCAGCTCCTTGGTCACATATGGTAGCTAAACTAATGGACCGCGCAAATTATATGATAAATTAGCAACAAAATACAACAAGAAGTCATAAAATTAAACATAACAATGACGTTGATTATTCATCTAAAATCATCTCCGACATAATATGATTCTAAAGTTTAAATGAGCTGGTTTAATTCATCTCAGAATAATTTTCGCAAATATAAATTCATCAGACAGTGTAATTTCTTTGAATTTTCACTTAACGGCCTTCTTTGCGTAATGCCGAAACAGCGCGCGCTTGTTTTGGCACGCGCCTTAACGTCAGTCACACATCTGTTAGCAGACGAAATATTCTTGCATTTGTTACAAACGGCAACGTTATTCCATCTGTCATACGAATCAGTAGCGTACGTCATTTGTTTCAAGATTTTAATTATACAAACCATATAAACTTTTGTATTTATTAGCAGACGAGAAATAAGTAAAACATATAATTGTAAAGATGTCATCAGGGGAATAAGCGCAATTAAAAGTAAAAGCGAAATTGCTCTTTCCGTTTGACTGGTATCTATGTAATTATTTCGTTTCTAGTCAATAAACCGGTGGTTAAGTAGGAGAATGAATATGAGCACGTGCGTAGATTCTTCTCGATGATTGTTTTGTATTATCTTAATCATTTATCTAAAATTAATTTCAGGGCAAAAATGGAAGCTATTTAAGTATGTTCGTAAGGAGCTGAAAAATTATGCACTTTAAAAAGATTCCTAATGAGCAAGGTAGCCACGCCCTCCAATCAACGCCATGATTTTATTCGCCGCATTCTAACAGCGGATTGTTTGATTATTTACCTATTTCATTCGCGTATGCAAATTTATATGAAAAAAAAGTTTTGATCCATATCTTTTTGATATCTTTTTTTTCTAAATGATTAAACTGTTTTGCATGTTGGTTAGCCATCTGCCTGCTGGTATTTGTACCCTGTCGATCTATACATAAATGTGTTCTTATTTCATTAAAAAATCATCAACAGTCTTTTATGTAATTTACTTCTGACTACATTATATGTGCTATTGTTTCTTTATGCTTCGGAAGGCAAAGAGTTTGACATTTTGCCAAATTTATCACTAAAATGTTTCTGCCCGTTCCATACTTGTCAGTTAAGTAATGTGTGTTCAGTTTCGCTGTATTATTTTAATCTTGTCAGTGGAAAAAAGATGGTATTCATTGCCAATAGCCGTATTACAAACATCACACAATTAATCGTCGTATCACATAAGTTTATTACAGGATAAACTTGAGTTTATTACACGATAAACAGGATGTATCCGGTTCTCGAAGAGTTCTAACTAAAGGCTTCTTAAATTTCACCTAACGGAAATTACCTTACATAAACGAACACCCAATATCTCATACAAACCGTTAGGTCTGAACGTCTTTTAACGTATTTCCCTTGAGGACAATCCCTCATTCTACATTTTACCATCGTCCTAATTACAGTGATTTTACAACATCCGTTAGGCTTTCATATCGCAGAATTTCCCTTTCATGGGATCTTGCTAGCTGAAAAGTTTCCCTTACAATTACGTTTCTGAAGATTAACACAGAGTACACAAACATTGTTGTGATTTTAATTGATGTCTCCGGTTTCATTGTCGACTGGTGAAGAAATTCAACAGATTGGGAATCAACGCTAGATGCTATTTGTCATAATGCCATGGCGGACAAAGAGGAAATTTCAGCTAATCGCCGGAACTGCGTAGACGAAAGTTAATTTACATAGCGAACTGTCATCGTTGTATTGTAGCCTAGAATCTAAGGAAGTTGTTTATGTGTAAAAGATTATCGTTTGATGAAAGTACTATCTGTTATTTATCATATCTGATTAATGCTGTCCGTAGAAGCAGAATTGCTACAAATTATTCGCACTTATCACTCAGACATGCAGTAGCTGAATTGTGGATCTTTTTCTCTTGACAGAATTGTCGGCTGAATACATGGTAACAAAAGAAGTAATAAACCATAACAATAAAAAATAGGAATTTTTTTTATCTCCGCTGAATATTTTGACAATCCAATTTTTGCTTTTGTCTATTAATGTTTATATCAAGAAAAAAGAGAAGTATCATTTTGAAATAGCACACTGCTGTATATCTTAATTTCGTATGCTGTCTGATAATGTCTGATATCATAAATACTATTTTTCCCCCCAAAAAATAAATTGTATTTCAATTCATCGAACGCCTTGTCTCGCAAAATTTAATCCCTGTTTTGTCTCAGTTTAAGATACATCTTACAATTCTATTTTAAAGTGGATATGTGCAATGTATATGTATATAAAGTTTATATAATAATGTTATGAATTGTTCAATGATGATACTTAAATATAGAAGAAAAGGATTAAACATCTAAGTAGAACCAACTTTGTTGTCACGAGTGATGATGTCTCTATTGTTCATAGGAAAACTGAATCATGACTTTTTTTCCTTTTAAATACTTTAAAGTGAATTAGTCTATTATAATGAGCACATTTTCCATAAGTTCTTGAAATATTGATAAAAACTATATAAAAAGTATCATTTGGATATTTTTATGCAATATTGCTTGAAAAAAAATGTTGATCAAGTTCTAAAATGATTAAGAATGAACATTTATACGATGAATAATAATATTTTGTTCTAGATCATTTTATTATCTGCTATATAAATACATGTGTATGTAATGTTGGATCATATGTCTCATATTTGCTAACAACAGCTATTGGTAATTCTTCCGTGGTTTGTTGTAATGTCTGATACTAAGCACTATCAACATACTCATTTATATAGTTAACTGACCACACATTATAGACCAATCTACTTTAAATATAAGGCAACTTCGTTTGGTGTACTTGAATATGGTATAAAAATGACATTTATTTTATAAAACAAAGTCAGTCAATATATACGAAGATCGTGATATCAAGGTTTTATTTTCAGGATATATTTATATTTTTTTTACAAAAACTCATTCCTTTATTTGAGGATATATTCATTTATATTCAACAAGGAACATGATATTGAAAGAAGTATATTTTGTTTGGCGTTCATTGCGTCGAAAGCCGAGTTTCCGTACATAACAGAAGTCCCTGACGGGATTCGAACCCACAGCGGTAAGACGCCAGAGATTTGAAGTCGGCGACCTTAATCACTTGGCCACGTAGGTCACATCAGACTCAGATCTGAGTGAATTGAATACTGATATTATATGGCTGTCATATTTTATTCTAATTATCTTAGTGTCATTCAATAAAACAATATGATACAGCATGTACATGGTCTTTTTTTTGGTATGAATAGACTAAGATAAAATACTTTCACATAATCTTGACCACTTAAAAATATAGAAGCAGATCTTGTTTAAGAAAGATATCATCGCAGCTTGATATTAAACAAATATTAAATCAAAATAAAACACAATGGAAAAAAAACATACCCAGAATAATTACACAGAAATCGATTTTTATAATGTTTTGTCTTATAAAAAGAATTATTTCTAAATCTTTAAATGTTAAGCTTGATGTTTTGCTTACATTCTAATATTACCGCAGTGTGTGGACATTTCTGTGCTAGATAAAACATGAACATCTGATCAATTACCAGATTCAAGATTTTTAAATTTAAAAAAATCTTGAATCTTGATCAGTTACAAAACAAAGACGTAAAATATATACGATGTTTGTAATAATGTAAAATCTCAGGTAAAAAGTTCACGATTAAACTTACACATTAACAAAAAGGGTGAAAACGAAATTTAACTTGTGTTGTTTTTTTTTACAGTATCATAAATTGTTGTTTATAAAGTGTTTTGACACGTATAAACAGTACATATATAGACAGATATAGACAAATATGACCCCGATCTGTCATACCAGATACTTTCTATAAAAATAATTATAAAAATATATATATATGATTAATCAAAAGTCTTTCATAAAGAATTCTATTTGAAATACGCTAAATTAAAATACAACATTAATTAATAAGAAATTTTGTTAATAATCAAGCGACAATGAAACATCTATTATATATCAATATCGAACAATTCCAATCTTTACGATCATATTTAACAATTGTGTATGGAATCAAAATGTACATAATAAAACTTTTCATCATCTGAAAATATGTAAAAAAGCCAATAACGTCTGCTTTCCATTACGAAAATTTATGGAAATAGTCTCCGTGAATATTAACTGCCCATGATAACGGCTGTAGGGTAGTCTTGGATGAATATTTCAAAAGCGGTTTTCCATTCAGATAATTGTTTGTCTTCCTCTGTCACTGTCATATACCTCAATGGAAACATAGCCCAGCATTTATTAAATGTCAATGGTTTTACCACTGTTATAACAACGTAAAACAACAGTAAT